CTTCGAACCCTGGCAAGGCCAGCGCCACCCCCGATCTGAGTGTGCGTGGTGTGGAGAGTACTTTGTCAGAGGACGAAGTATTCAAGCAAAATATGCAAGCATGCTGCTCCATATTACAGCTAGCCCTTTTTTTTGTTTTCCTTTTTTAATTCAGGCTAAATTTACTATTCCACAATATCAACGGAGTGCGACTATACACCAATAATTCGTCACTACCGGTATCTCTGTACCGACCGGTCTTGGCAGCATTGGCGTGTCCCCTATGGGCCACATTATCGCAGCTTTGTTCGGCCTGTGTGCAAGAATCTAGATCCTCAGGAAATGCCTCGCTTTCATTCCTGTGTTTGGGGTAGTATGAGTTTGGTACCACGCAACATAGCTTTCTGGATCTGCCTCCAGAAAATGGCATCCCCGTCGGAGCATTTCGGCGCCGGCGTCACCTCCTATCAGATGCAGTTGACTGATCCGACAGGCTGGCTGTGAATCTGCACTCAGCCGCAGAGAACTTGGGCTCTTAACCTGACTGGCCGGGGTTACCATCTTGAAAGTGCCACAAGGAGGTCATTGCTCATGTCGGTTGGTGTCTCACAGCGCCCCCCGCCAACACGGTCGATGTAAAAAGAAGAAAAACGTCGTCTCATTGGTAGCCAAATTCTCACTGCCATCTATCACAGACCACTGAACTCGTTCAATACGTGGTACGAATACACCGTCAACGAGAACCAATATGGGGGCCTCAATATTGTACAACATGCCATGGCCATGGCCTGCCTCTGGCATGGAAATACTCCGTACGCGACAAGACTTTGGCCAGCTTCTGCTGTCCCAAGTACAGTCCCATCGACAGACATTTGCCATTCCGTCACGTTGACACAAAAATATGGCACGTTGCCGACTCACATTGTTGTGTGCATAATTATGCTCTACACCTTTTACTGTCTGTTTGTGAATGTCTATTAGGAATGACGCACTGGTTGGACGAAACTCCCGCCACAAGCGGACGCTCTCAAAAGGCGTGGTTTGGGTATCCCAAATTGTCTCACTTATGCCCAGATGTAAAACATCTGTACAGAGCTCGCCCCGTGCATAGATCTGCATGGAAACATTTCTAACCCTTATCTGGCATTGATGAGCACACATGGTCACGTCAACGTATTGTACCGAGTACAGAGTACATACAGCCATCATTTGTTCAAGACATTGTACGCAAAGTCCTTCCTGCGGGACCTGTTTAAAAAGAAATTATATCACGATCTCATCCCGGTCGTCAGATATTGGGCTGCATTAATTCTCGCCTGACAAGAAAGGGGGAAACAGAGGTGCCAGCGCCCTGGGGCTGGAACAAGACAGTGGTGCAGTAGTATTCTCGTTCAGCAACGCACGTCGAGTGATACAGGTGAAGTCGTGCATGGTTGTTTGATCCGGTGATCATATAACGATGAAGTCCAACAATACCAGCACGCGGATCTGGTTAGTGCTGCCACTGGAGGTCGCGTCAACTTGGGCCTTCCTTGCAGCCACCAACGCGGGAAAGGCACAGCATATGTATGTATTGTCATGGCATCTGCCGTGGAATAGACTCAGCTTGTATCGAATCAACTCGCCCATTGGCTCCTCTTTGTCCCTGGCATTTGAATCCAATCCACACTTGTGTTGGGCATGTGCTGGGGTTTGGTTGCAGGAACAAGTGTAATAAGATATTACCCCTAAAACTGTGTCTAATTGGGAGACCATATTGCCATCTCGGGAACACGGGCAGCGCTTGTCTTGGAGGTGAGCTTCATCTGTGATCAGGGGTGGGTGATTCGAGGCTCAGGAGTCAGGATCCCTATGTCGGCACAATACTCCATAACAGCTCGAAAAAGACATACCAATTAACCTTGAGAGCACTACCAACGGATGCGGCGACACGGAGGCCAAGTGGCTTCTCTCTCTTGGAAAAGGGATAGACGCCTCTTGACTGGCCCGTAACGGCCGAACCATGGTCAACACTCTGGAGCCAACATATTTTTCAGCTTGGGCTGCTGCCGGGGCGTATGACGATGGGCCGAATACAGAATCCTCAGATTGAAGTGAGCGCTCAGTTCTGAAGTGTAGTAGTTACATTACGCGTGTTGTAGGGTAGCGAGATGGCCACCTCTCTCGTAAGTGGAGATTTTTCCCGCACCGTGTTGACGCACGGAGCTGGGGAGTTCATGCACAGTATCAAGAAACCCCACCCGAAGAAAGTCCGCATCATCACGATATATCTACCACATGATAAGGGTATGAGAACGGACTGGACAAGTTTGTAGGGCGAATTGAAGCCACCAAGCAGCGTGTTGGGGTACTAGATTCCCACTTCCTCTTCCCTGAGAGGCATTCGCAGTGGAACTATAGACACCTTGTACAATACATGTCGACTATATCTCCCCAGTCACCGCGGCTAGAACGACAGAGAAAGCCACCAGAGACGATCCGCCATGAGCGACCTGAGGCGAGCATGGGCTAAATCAAAGCTCGGACTTGTACCGGAACCCTTTATGGAACTGGAGGAGGAGGAGGAGCTGAAGCAGGAAGACCAGGCGGGGGACCAGGTACCGGAGCTACCAGAACATACGGATGATGATTCCTCTTCGGCTTCGTCAATGTCATCGACTGGCACCATTATTCCCACACCGAGTCAACGACTATTCGCTCGTCCCCAGGGGTATGATTTATCCTTTTCATTCTTCGTCTTTTCTTTTTCCCTCCCCCCCCCCGGCTCTGTTTATTTTATCCTTTCGCGCCAACCCTTGCCTTGCTGACCGAGACTAGTGTTGCTACAGGAAGGACTCTTGAACCAATACCCTGGACGACATACTTTGAGCGGCAGCTTTATATGCAATCCGGCGATACTCAAGGGGTCATTTTTCACGCCTATCTAACATCTCCGGTAGACAATGGCCCCCTGTTTGTCATGCATCATGGAGCCGGCTCATCAGCTCTTTCGTTTGCCGTTGTGAGTTCCGAGATTCGGAAGCGGCTTCCTTCAGCCGGAATCCTCGCCATTGACTGCCGAGGTCATGGATCGACGATATCGCCAGATGGTACAGAGTTGGACCTCCGTCTAGCCACATTGTCCGCAGACCTGTTTTTTATGATTCACTCCACAAAGGAGCAAATGGGATGGCACCAGATGCCTTCGATTATGCTGGTTGGCCACTCCCTGGGAGGCGCGGTTGTGACAGACCTGGCCTTTACAGGCAAGTTGGGCACATCCCTACTCGGATATGCTGTTCTTGATGTGGTAGAGGGCTCAGCCATGGATGCCTTGCAGAGCATGCAGACTTATCTCTCTACTAGGCCGAGTGGATTTGCAAGCATTGAGACGGCAATTGACTGGCACATACGGTCACGTACGATACGAAGCTCCGTGTCGGCCAGAACGTCGGTTCCTGCGCTTTTGAGACAAGAAGAATCGGCGACAGCCTCTCGGCCATGGCGATGGAGAACCAACCTGGCCGCTACCCAGCCGTTCTGGGAAGACTGGTTTGTGGGATTGAGCAAGAAGTTCCTGGGCGCGAGGGGGGGAAAACTCTTATTGTTAGCGGGGACCGACCGCTTGGATACAGAATTGACGATTGGACAAATGCAAGGTAAGCACGCACGGCAGTAATCTCCTCCCTCTGCTTTCTGTATAGCGGCAAGTCAATACGTGCTAATCACAATGGCTAGGCAAATATGCGCTGCAAGTATTCCCAGAAGCCGGCCACTTCATCCACGAGGACATGCCGGAAAAAACTGCCATCTCGTTAGCAGACTTTTACAGACGAAACGATAGGAGTGCACTTGTTTTGCCGCCCAAAGTATCTGATTTACTTAGACAGGGAAAGAAAGTGTGAGAAGAGCAGACATGGTTTTGTTGAAGGGAATACAAGGGCGATGCGGAGGCTCGTATCAGCCCGAGAGCTGATAATACACAGCTGCAAGTGCAATAACGCCTTGTCGGCTGGATGAAACGTCTATATTGGTGCAACTGGAGCCGGCGGGTGCGTCTCGGTGCAAGCACAGTCATCCGACAGTAGATACTATAATACTACGGAGTACTTGCTTCGTTGTATGACGATACTATTTGCCGTTACTGGTATCTATTGGGCAGGACCCGTGCGACCCTTCCCAGGTGCAGTTGCCGATTCGCATCAACGCGACATGACGTAATGACTGGCCAAAACAACCAGACGACTAATACGACCGTCGACAACCAGCCTCATTTACGGCCTTGGCGTTGAAACATGTGCACAATGTACTTGAGTACGAAGTACTCGACATGTATTTACATGGCATGATTAGTTGCATGGGCCACGCCACCTCCTGGCCGGTCATTTTGACCAAGTACCTACCTACTTAGGTACTTAAGTAGGTTAAGTACCTAGGTAGGTACCTAGGTAGGTGTAATTAGTTGATGGGCTCAGCCCGTATGCATCTAAAACGAGGCAGATGCTCTGCCGAGGTTGGTTTCTGGGGTAGCGGCAGCGGCCCATTCAGACATGGAGCCTCTCGTTGGCATTTGTTACAAGTAACTTTGGACATGGTTTGAATTAATTCGGTGCTAGTGCTCGAGGACCCTCCCCCTATGGTGGGCAGTGGGCAGTGGGCGGTGGGCGGTGGGCGGTTGCTCCGTACACCAGACTCGACATCAATGTCAATGGCGCGGCCAAGTTCGTTGAAAAGCTACTTGAGTGACCCATGTCTTCCTCTGCACCAGACCAGACTCTTTCATAGTCCCTACTCCCTCCCTCCTTAAGTACTTAGGCACATAAAGTCTATTGGTGCAGGTGCATGTGGCTGCCAAGCAGGTCCGATCTCCCTTCCTCCTCGATCTGGCGCATCTCGTCTCCGTCACCTCGTCGCACTTTGGCCTCCCAAAACTTTTTGATTCTGCATCCCTTGCTCCCGCCAACATCCGGCCCCGTCGCCGCCATCTTGTTCAAACACCTAAGACTCTATCTCTAGCGTGCTCTCTAGTAATTATACCCACGATGCGATCCTCATTCGTCACCTTGGCAGTTGCTGTCAGCTTCGCAGCCGCACAGCAGCTCGGCGAAATCCCCTCATGCGCCGTACGACCACCTCTTGTACCCCCAACACAATCTCAAGCTATCTTGAACGTCCCCGGTCTGCACAATTTGCTATTTGCCCCGGTTGCTAACGGCTCATTGGTTACAGCAATCATGCGTCACGTCCTACGTCACCGGAACGAATATTGCAGGCTGCAAGCCGGCCGACATTGTATGCATCTGCCAAAACAAGGAGTTCATTCAGGGCATCTCGTGCTGCCTGGAAAAGGTCTGCGACCAGGCCGATATTGACAAGACCATCAAAGTGGCTACCGGCCTGTGTGCCGCCAGCGGCGTCGACACTCCCAAGCAGCTCGTCTGCTCCTCTGGCTCTGCCTCAGCCTCAGATTCTACCGCAACTCAGACCGGAAGCTCTAGCCCTACTGCCAGTGGCTCGCAACAGAATACGAGCGCCCCCTCTGGCAGTGCAACTGCTGCCACAACTGCTGCCACTTCGACTCACACTGGTGCTGCCGCTCCTGCTTTTGGCAACCCAGGCGGCCTTCTCGGTGCTGCTTTGGCCATCGTTGCCGCTCTCTAAGCAACAGATGGCCCATAGTTAACCCGGGTACCTAGGTAGATACCAAGTAAGTAGGTAGGACGCGAACTAGGCTGCTGACTGTGTATAAAATGTGCAGAACCAGTGGTGATTGTGACGGCGACGACGGCGGAAGCTCAACTTGTTTTGTTTGTGTACGAGCGCTGATGTATATAATAATGCTTCCTGTACTCTGGCAACCCGACTTAACTTGTTCCATATACCGGCTTCCCAAACCGTGCTATTGTCTTCAACCTTGCATCCCTGTGTTGCCCTTGCCAAACTCAATCCCATTGACTTCTCTCTGGACTTGGCTTTTGCTTACAACGGCGAAAAGCATGCCCAGCAGCCCTCCAAATTGGCTTATTGTACATAGAGTACGTCCCCTGAAAACAGGAGCCTGCCCCGAACTGCTTGCCCGTAGCGGCGCAGCTGATTACCTTTTGTACGCGCCTAGATTTGCTGAAGTGGTATCGAGTACGGGGCACAGTACTCCATAGAACCGTAGAACCAGGGCCACCCCGTCTCTCACCCGATCTCTCACCCGGACACCCCGCCATTGTACTGCCCGCTCTGCTGACCCCACTGGCATCAGGCACGACTAGAGAGCTTCTTTTCTTTGGCATCCCGACTCTTCCACCCAATTCTTCCTTTTCGCCCTCCAATTCGTAGGGCCCGACCTCTTCTTCCTCCTCCTCCTCCTCCTCCTCCCCCCCCTCTCCCTCTAAAAAAAGACACCATGACCCCGCCGGCAATCATTGCGCCTTCAATTCTGTCTGCTGACTTTGCTCAGCTGGGCGAGGAATGCGCTCGTACTATGGAACAAGGTGCCGACTGGCTCCACGTCGATATCATGTTTGTTCATCCAATGTTACCCAACTGCCGTTTGCAATGTCTTAATGCAGCTCTAGGGATGGCCACTTTGTTCCGAACATTACATTTGGAGCTCCCGTCGTTGCCAAGATCAGAAAACATGTTGACAAGCCCACCGAAGGCCATGGCAGAGGCACCTTTGACTGCCACATGATGATTGCAGAGGTAAATATACCTTGCCGGGATGGGAAACGGGGCCGAGCGCCGGTTTGTGGAGGGCGCAGACTCCAATTACTGAAGTTGAGCCATGGCTGACGGATTTCTTGCTTGTCCTGTAGCCCAAGAAATGGGTCAAGGAGTTTAAAAACGCCGGTTGTGACCTGTATTGCTTCCACTATGAAGCGGCATTCTCGACGGCAGCCGAGAGCCCCGAGCAGACGTCGGACAAGAAGACCAGCCCCAAAGAGCTCATTCGGTATATCCACGCCAACGGAATGCTTGCGGGCATTGCCATCAAGCCAGACACGTCTGTTGATGTGCTGTGGGATATCTTGGAGACTGCCGATCCCGAGGAGAAGCCTGACGTAAGCGCATATTTCCCCTGGCGGCTGTTGTTTTTGCTGACTAGACAGATGGTTCTTGTCATGACGGTCTACCCTGGATTCGGCGGCCAGAAGTTCATGGCGAGCGAGCTCCCCAAGGTGCAGGCGTTGCGGGCCAAGTACCCCGAGTTGAACATCGAGGTTGATGGTGGCTTGGGGCCAGGGACTATCGACCAGGCCGCCGATGCTGGGGCCAATGTCATTGTTGCTGGTAGTGCCGTGTTTGGCGCAAAGGACCCGTCTGAGGTTATTTCTTTACTACGAAAATCGGTAGATTCGAGGGCTGGTAGACTATGAGTGTGCCGTGATGGGCTGCCATTGGGTGAAGTTATTTATATATATACACGAATAGACGATGGAACGATACTTGGTATAAATAATCGAAAACGCAAACCGAGGGTCTACTGCTCATTTCGTTTCAGTAACGAGGATATGTATCATCTACTAGCCACGGCCAGGTACACAAGTCGCATTTTGAAAATCCAAGACCACCTGCGTGCAACACATCTTTGGCAGATGAAACCACATGAGCCAATGTCCCCCCGGCGCTAACATGCATTGCATTAGGCACTTCACTGTTGATGCAGGTCACGGCAGCGGGCTTAGGGGGCAAGTACATATTAATAGTAGCGGCGACTATTTACTAGTCAGAGGTCTGCCAAGCGTCTGTCGCCGCCAGGCGGTTACAAAGTATTTAAGCGCCTCGACGAGATGCAATGAATGGTATAGTACATACAATTGGCCGATGTCCTGAGCGTCGGTGGAAATGATTGCACGTCTGATGTCTGTGTGCTGACGATTGGCCTTCAACCGACTGTGCTCGCAGCGGGAAAACGGCGCCAGGCTCGCCAAGCGCACCTTTTCATCCATCCATGAACTGATCCAGTCGGTGACGGTGTATTTCAACATTGACGTACTCCGTACATGTAGTGGGACGCCGACAGTGAGGTGGTGCCACGGCCCGGAAAAATTTCTGGGTTCTGACGGCGTTGGCCCACCTCGGCGGCTCAAAAGCTTTTGGAGACAAGAAGCACTTCACACTCGCCTGTCCTTGCCTGGTTGTGAGCGTTTTTTTTTTTTTTTTTTTACCCTCCCATATACAATTGTTTCGGGCGTTCAATCGGCATCGCACATATTCGCAATGAAGAGAAAGGCAGAAGGCCAGGCCGGTGGCAAGCAAGCCAGCAGCAAAAAATCCAAACACTGTACGTTTTTGCGCTCCCCCGACACCACCACCACCACACCGCCACCGAGGCAACCTGTCGCAAGTACCGGACAAAGAACTGACCTCGTTATTCGGACTTGAACAGCTCTCTCGGCCGGGGAGGCACAGAAGCGGTTCCGAAGCGGCTTATTCGACAAGTCTGTGTTGGACTCGTACACTCGTGAATATGCCACCTCTTCACCCTACAAGCACGCCGTGATCCACGAGCTGGTCGACGACAAGCTGCTGCGCTCTGTGCGAGCGGAGGTCCGCGAAAACGTGCAATTCACTCTCAAGGAGACCGACATTTACAAGATTCACCAGTCTGGAGACTTGGCCAACTTGGATGGCCTTGACGACGAGTCGTTGGCCAAGCTGCCGTCTTTGCTGGCCCTCCGAGACGCGATTTACTCCGAGACGTTCAGAGACTATGTTTCCGGCATCACTGGCTGCGGTCCGCTGAGTGGAAGGAAGACTGACATGGCAATCAACGTGTACACACCGGGCTGCTTTCTCCTCTGCCACGATGATGTCATTGGCAGTCGCAGAGTCAGCTATATCCTGTACCTGACCGATCCCGACAAGCCGTGGCAGCCGGAATGGGGCGGTGCTCTGCGCCTGTTCCCCGTAGAGGAGATGACGAACAAAGACGGCCAGGTGGCCAAGACGCCGCTGCCCGACGTTGTCAAGGTGATCCCCCCGGCCTGGAACCAGCTCAGCTTCTTTGCTGTCCAGCCGGGGGAGAGCTTCCACGATGTGGAGGAGGTGTACCACGCCGCAACCAAGGAGCAGCTAGACGAGGACAGTGGGCGAGTTCGCATGGCCATCAGCGGCTGGTTCCATATCCCTCAGGTTGGAGAGGAGGGCTACATCGAGGGCGAGGAGGAAAAGAACGCCAAGAACAGCAGCTTGATGCAGCTCCAGGGCAACCCGGCGCAGTACGACGCGCCCCAAGCCAAGCCCGTCAAGATTGATAACCCCACGTCCAGCCAGGACGATTTTGAAGAGGACGATTTGGAGTTCCTGCTCAAGTACATTGCGCCGACATACCTGATGCCCCAGACGCTCGAGCAGGTCTCGGAGCACTTTGAGTACAACTCTAGCATCACGCTGTCAAACATCCTGTCCAAGAAGTTTGCCCAGCGATTAAAGGACTATATTCAAGAGCAGGAGAAGCAGACTCTCCCGCAGGACAGCAAAGCCATCGAGAAGTCCTCGCCCTGGAAGGTGTCCCGGCCCCCGCACAAGCACCGCTATCTGTACCAGCGACCCAGCGAACCAGACCAGCTGCGCACATCGCAGGAGGAATCCCCCATCACCGAGCTCCTCGACATACTCCTGCCCAGCAGGCAATTCCGCCACTGGCTTCAAATCGCCACAAAGTGCACCGTCCAAAGCCACGACCTTGTTGCACGCCGCTTCCGCCGCGGCGCCGATTACACCCTCGCCACAGGACATGAAGGCAAGGCCCGGCTCGAGCTCGGCCTGGGCATGACGCCAACGGACGGTTGGGGAGACGATGACAAACAGGAGAAGAAGAAGGAGCTCCAGGTCAAAGGCAAAGGCAAAGCCAAGGCCAAGGCCAAAGCCGAGCAAGAGCTACCGTCCAAACAGGATGGGGAGGACGACCAGGTCGGCGGCGTGGAAATCTACATGGCCGGCGACGAGGACGAGGACGAAGATGCCGCCGTATACAACACCTTCGGGGACGACGACAATATCCTCTTCTTCCAGCCTGCGTCATGGAATGAGTTGACTATTGTGCTGCGGGACAGTGGCGCCCTCAAGTTTGTCAAGTATGTGAGCAGGAAGGCCAAGGGCGATAGGTGGGATATCTCGGGCGTCTTTGAGATAGAAGATCTTGACGATGAAGATGAGAGGGAGGCTGAGGGGGAGGACGGCAATGGAGAGATTGCTGCTGGTCCTGCATTGGGCGAGTCAGATGATGAGGATGAGTTCCAAGGGTTTTCGGACTCGGAGGGAAGTGAGTCTGATTAAGAGAAACAGTGTGTTTATGAACATTATGTAAGAGCTAGATTGACCATGAATTTGGGTATATTGGAGCGTTTGAATACTCCAGATATCTGGCATATATTTTGCTAATATACGAGATTGTGCATTCCACCCCGAGCTCGCATTCAGCCGGACTGGCCTTTCCTTCTTCACAGCTTGGGCATGTGATGGACGCTGTGGATGCGGCATAGAAGCCGGGTATATGGTGAATACCCGGCATGCTACCGGCGCGCATGGATAGCATACGCGAAGTTGTGTAGCTGTTTAAAGCCCGTCTGGGGCTAGGGGAATGTCATGTTGGGAGAGTAAGAGTCATCCATGTCAAGGAGCCACTCAAGTTGGGCTCAACGAATCAATCGATAGACTCGCCAATTCCGACCGCAAAATCTCCGTCACGCTGTCTGCTTCTCGAATCCTTCCCGACTGTGTTAAATGATTGACTGTGTCGTGGCCCAGAAAGGCAATCCACGGCAGCATAGCCATGCCTTTGATGCTGCTCCATTTGAACTTGTCAGGGTTCAGCTTTGCCACTAACTTGCGGAACTTTTCCTTGTCGTTGAACAGACGCAGGGCTGGCGCGTGGTCTGGATGCGTGGGGTGATAGAGGTGGAGATGTGCCTTTTCAATCTCAAATCGTCGAGGGAGCAACTCGGCCGTGGCCATGTGCGCGTCAAATAATTTCTCTGACGCGGCCCCTCGGCTGTATGACTCGACGGTAGATAGCCAGGATACCGATCGCCAAGGGGAGACGAGGAGTCGAGGCAGGAGAGGGCTGTTGTGGTAAAGCTGTTCGGCATCCAATACGGTTGTGATAGCTGCGTCCAGGCTTCCGTGTTGTGGTTGGCTCTTCGTGCGAGCAATCTGGACCAGCATGAATGCGGCGCGACTGATTCGTACATCCTTCTCCCAAGAGAGGCCAGTGTCGTTGACTATTCGGGTTATCCATTCCCACGCAACGCTTTCTAAACCTTCTGCAATGAGCAACGGCGTCAACGCTCGAGTAAAAGGCTGGTTATCGAGGAATCTCAGATTCGCCTCAGCACCGGATGATTTGAGCCACCGAACAACTCGTAGTGCTGTTTGTGATGAAGAAACATCGTGGGGGGAGTTGGATGCGGAGAGTAACTGTCGCTTGGCCACCATGCATCCTGTAGCGGCTGTGAGTGTCATCATTCCTTTGGCCACGGCATGGTCGAATACATCCATGGGATCTCGCTTGGACACGGGCAACGTCTCGGCTGATGAGTGGGAGCTAACTTGCTTGCTGTAGCTAAAGAGTGGATTGGAGAGAATGGACTTTAGATGTCGGGTTGCGGCCGAATGTCGAATAAGTTGGTCAGGATCTGCGACTCTGGCCAAGGCCGCGGCGCGCTCGGAACCTATTCGGCCATATTCACGGTCAAGTTGCTGTCGAAAGGATGCCTTGAGGCCATCCAAAAGCTTTTGAGACTGCTGTTTCGATAACCCAGCAGGCTCGTGATAGCCAGCGAAGAGGTTCCGCAGCGCTTGGGTAGATTTTGTTGAGAGCATGGTAGAGGGTCGCAGAGGGAGCTGGCTCTGCCTATGGCGGACTCATGACAAAGATGCACTGGCAATGGTAACCTTGCCGTTGGACTACTGGGGGTGGTGACGTTTGCCTTGGATCGGCCCAGCCAAGACCTTCGACATCACGGTGGTCAACGTCGAGTCTCAAAGCAGCATCACGTGATGAGATCAGAGATCTCATTGTCCGTCATTGTCCAAAGAGAATTGAAGGAGGGGAGCTAGTGTGGGGCGGGCAGTGAGTGTCTGTGCCTCGGAGCCAAGTTTTTGGCCTCGGGATTTGAAAACAAAGCGAGCTACGGAATATCTGTACGAAGAGCGTCCCTGACATTGCTTCATCCTGCTGCAGGGACAGCCGAATGCTGACACGTACCAGGTCCAGGCTGGGTTGCTGAAGTGTGCGATCGGAGATGCAAAGCGACGAGTGAAGACTGAAGTTTCCGTACTCCGACGTAAGCGTGGCACTGCTCCATGAAAAAATGGCAAACCCGCACGTGTGATAGCGACGTCGTTTACTCGATATGTACTTGTATCTAGTTGATAGACGTACGTAGAGATTGCTGACCAGCGGTTCGGGATGGATGGCAACGTCCCGATATCTCGAGTCCGGTCAGATCTTGATTGTTTCGTCAGTTCCATGTGTCGGAGCTGCCGAGGTTGCTGATGTGGTCGACAAGACTGACAATGGCTGGCTGCGCAAAACGGCGCAGGAGCCCCAATCCAAGCCCAAAATAGTGACGAGATCGCCATGTAACTTACCATGGCGGAGAAAAGAATACTTGACCACGTTCTATGCGCGGCTATGGAACAAAGGACTTGGATGAGTGATGGCGCGCGCTTCCATTGTCGGCAAAAGCACCCCCAGGTGAGCTCCGAAGACGAGCACCTTGCCGTGCTTGCGCAAGGACCTGGCCGGCGGAGAATACATGTTTATCAATCCCTTTTTCTTTCTCCCTGAAGTCGTCTTGCACACAGAAGGGGCGACACAAGGACAGGGATTCATCAAGAACTTGGGCAGCAAAAATAACCCAGTCGGCCTGGAAGCACCCCACTGATTGCACACGATTGGGAGGGAGCACAGATCATTGCAACAGAATGTGGCTGGGAAACGCCATGGATGGGATAAGACCCAGCCAAGGCAGGGACGTAACCGTCCACGGTGCGGACATGGAGTGCAATGCAACGCTGATGACTGCCTGATGTGCTGGTGATGTTGAGGCGCAAACATACCCCAGACTTGCCTAAAGTACATCAATGGCATAACGTCTGGTACTTGGTGTCATTTACTTGCCACCACCAGCATTGGGCTGCACTGTTGCGTATGATCCGCCGCTGGCATTGAACGTCATTTGACATGATACCAGACTGTCAAGTGCACTTGAGCATACAAGTGCCTGTCAGGTCAAGTGTATGCGGCATCTCCTTCGGGCACTGGAAACATGCCCTCGACGGCTGAGTGCTGCGTCAAGTGTCAGCACTGGTGCACCCCACTGTAGTTCTTCACTGTTGGTTCAATGTTGAGTGCTGGCTGGGCACTGGGCCGTTGCAACAGTAACGTCAACTGGTCGACGTCAAGCAAGGCCAGGCCCGCGCCGGGGCTGTTCGGTCAGTGACATGGACTGGCCAGACCAGTTCAAACCAGACTTGACCCTTTAAGCGGCGGACCAGCCATGACTTAAGGCTTTTAAGGCTTAACATTTGAAGGCTTGGGGCTTGAGGCTTGAGGCGCATACCCGACGTCGCCTGCCTGGCGCTGGTCCAATTGATGGCTTCCATGTTCATGGCCCAAAGACCCACTAGGCCAGGCCAGTTGCTCCACAGTGCTGGCAGCGCCAGAGACTTGGACACAGAGCACTTGCGCGCACCTGCGCACTTGAGTTCGAATGGACCCGGACCGCCAGACCGCCAGCACCACCCAGGCCCCGGCTGGTAGCTGCGCGTTGCCCTTCAATGGTCGCTGGGTTTGTTGGTGTCCGGTCGGTTGGTGCTGGCGCCCATCAAAGTCAAAATCCTTCGTTGACCTGATCCATTTGGTCTTCGCTGCTTCCGGGGAAAACCTCGTGCCTCCCTTACCACTTGCACCATTCTCAAACTCCTCCTCCTCAACAACGCTCATCGCTTCGCAACACATTGCCGTGTCCTCATCCACGGGACTATCTCTTTATTTCGGAGTTGGCCCTCAGCCGCCTTTCCGTCCCACTTTGTCCTTTTTTTTCTTTTAATTTTCCTTCTCTCTTTGCAGAGGGCCACCTGATTTGGCCACTGCGTCTCTCCAGACCTCTTCCACCTCAGACCCTTCGCCTCCCGCCACAAACCACAAACCATCTCCATGTCCGAAGTCGCATCAAGGTCGTCCGCCACGCGTGGCAGAGGCTCTGGCCGAGGCGGTAGAGGAGGTTTCGCCGGTCGAGGCGGCCGCTCCAGAGCCAACGGCGACAAGTCAGACCACAAAGACGAAAACCTCGGTGCATTCGAAGACGAAGGCGAGTTCGCCGAGCTTCGCAAGAAGTATGGCGATAAAACATCCGTCATCCGCGAGATGTTCCCCGATTGGTCCGAGGCCGATGTTCTTTTTGCCCTCCAGGAGACAAATGGTGACGAGAACGAAGCTGTCGCACGCATTGCTGAAGGTGCGTAGTCCCCGTTTGCACCTGAATTTTTCACAGCTACCCAAAGCCTGCTATCGCCATGCCCACGCCTCCCTGCAGTCAATTCGGTCATATCACGAAACCGAGCACATGCGTGTCGAGTGTATCAAGTCTTCCCCATTGCCCTCCCACTCTTTTTTTCAATTTTTTTTTGGCATTTGCTCGAGCCCTGTACATACATTATCGTGATGCAGCCCCCAAGCTGACTATATACTCCCTGCATAGGCAACATCTCCCAGTGGGGCGAGGTCTCAAAGCCAAAGAAGACTGCCCGCACAAAGGCGAAGGACACGACGACTGCCCCTGCCAGCGAGTCGACCACGTCGGCCTCTCGATCTGCCCGTGGCGGACGGGCCGTCTCTGAGGGCGGCCGTGGTCGAGGACGAGGTTCTGATAGAGGTGCTCGTGGTGCCGCCGGCCGTGGCCGCTCATTCCAGCCCAGCACCAATGGCACTCGTAACAAGGAAAACCAGCAGCTCTCAGTCCCTACCGAGGAATCCTCTGCCTGGGATAATGCCAAATCGAAAGACGACAAGCCTGAGCTCAAGAGTACTGTTGCGGAGAAGTCTGCTCCCGTCGAAACTGCTAAGCCAGCAGCTCCCGCAGCCAAGACGTGGGCCAGCATGTTGCGCCAGTCAACCACTCCCAAGCCCGCGCCTGTTGCTCCCAAGGAAGTTCCTGCACCGAAGCCTGCTGATCTTGAAGCTCAGCTTGTATCCGAGCCCGTCCCAGCCGAACCCGAAGCCATTGAGCCCGTAGAAGAAGAGACTACCCCTGTGGCTCAAAGCGCTGTCCCCGTCCAAGCCCCCGTTACTACCTCTGAACCTGAAGCTGCTCTGCCCCCAACCAAAGACGAGCTTACCGAGACAAATCTTGAACAGGTTGTTGATGCCTCTAATCCACCTGCAACTGGCACAGCTGCTAGCACCGCTGCTGACTCTTGGGACCCGCGACAGAGCCCCGTTAGTGCTTCCGCTACACCCATCTCGGCTGCTCACCAGCAGCATCAGGCTCAGCGATCTGCTGCAAGCGGATATGCTGCGTCGGCGATCAAGGCAACTACTGAACGATCTTCTCGTGGCCCTAGCTTTCAACGACGAGTTTTGGATCAGGAAGAGGCTGTTCGTATGCCAGGCAACCGCGAGGTGGACCGAGCTGCTGTTAAGTTCGGGGCTTTCAGCCTGAATGACGGTGACGAGGACGTTGATGGCGAGCGTGAGGAACCAGAGACTCGTGCTCAGCCCCCGGCCGACTCTCCTGTCGCTCATCCTCGTGCCTCTCTCCCTCCTGTGTCTCAGCCTGTCGCCGTTCCAGAATCGTTCTCTCAGAAAACTGCTGGTGCCGTACCCTCGGCCGTCACCGGAGCAGGTAAGTCCAGGCTTGCGCCAGTTTGTTGGATGACTGAAGCTAATGTAGCAAAACACTGTACAGTTCCCACAGCTCCCGCTGCTGCTCAGGCTTCTGCTACTGCTGCGACTCAACAGTACGGCCGATTTGGTCCTCCCGACACCGCCACTGCTGCTGCTACACAAAAGCCTCTCGATCCGTTCAACGCCGCCCAGCCTACTCCCTCCTCCCAACCCCAGTTCGACAGCTTTGCCGCCCAGACTACACAGCCTCAAGCTCAGCAGCCTGGTGTAGCTTTTACCTCTGCCCCATCCGACTACTCCAACTACTACACTGCCAATCAGCAAGAACGAAACCCTTACAATGTTTACGGACAGCAGTACGGCGCTCAGCAAGCTGCCCATGGCCAGCATGACGGCGTTTCTCAACAGCGTCCATTTGCCGGCTACAATGTTGCCGATAACCTTAGCCAATACCCGCAGAGTGGCTCTCTGCACAATCAACCTCGATTTGGTGGTTCAAATGACAGCCAAAACAGCGGCCACTCAACTCCCAATCCCGCAGCTCAGGCTCAGCAGCAAGGTCAGCAGGCTCAGCAGGCTCAGCAGGCTCAGCAAACCCAGCAAACCCAGCAGCCTCAGCAGGGGGCACCTGGCTCGCAGCCTCAGTCTCATGGCCAGTACCCTGGATACAATCATCCTTATTATAGCAACCCTTACTATCATCAGTACTACTCCGGCTACGGACAAGGCGGTTTTGGTCCTTATGGCGGCAAGGGCGGAATGTATGGCCAACCTTATGGAATGTCTCCCAATGCGCCATATGACCATGCTTCGTCTCCCAGCACATTTGGCGGCCCATCCTCACTTCACCGTGATAGTAGCCTTGGCTCTGGCCTCGGCGAGTACGGCCGCGCCGCATCTGGTCAGGCAGGTAGCCAGCCTGGTTTGGGTGGCAGCAGCTTTGGCGGTGCTCACGACAGCTTTGCTCGTGGCGCCTCCTCTTTCCAATCTCAGAACCAGTCTTTCAACAGCCAGAACCAGCCCCCGGTCTCGGGCTCCGCTGACGACTTGAAGCCTTTCGGTGATAGCAAAACGGCGGCCTCCGGTCCCTCTCCTTCTCTTGGCGGCGGACCTCGTCCCGGATCTGCTACCAACAATGCCCCGAGTGGCCAGAGCGGCCTCCCTCCTCCTCAGAATTCCCAGATGGGCGGAGCCTATGGCGGTTATCCCAGCCACCTGCAGGGACACAACCTTCATGGTAGTGCCTACGGAATGGGCGCGGGCGCGGGAGCCAGCCAACACGGCAACACTCCCTACGGCTCCTACGGACAGGGTTTCGGCAGCGGTGGATATTACGGAGGTGGCCAGCAGCAGCGTGGCGGCTGGGGCGGAAACTACCATTAGTGGGGTAGGAACCGTGATCGCGATGGAAAGCGGCGAGGTAGATACCGCCCAGAATATGGCGAGCGAATACGTGTAAGGGAACGTGAGGAACGCATGATGAGAGAGCTCGGCCTTGACTTACCGAACCCTTGAGATGGGTCGTCTTTGTGTGTTTTATATCGAAGCATGGGAGGGGAAAACATGATCACCAAGACACGTGCCGCAACGCACAGGTGTTTAATGGGAATTACCGGAAGAGAGGCAAAGGAAACAGCAATGGGCCGGATGGATTTGTGTTTTTTTGGCCCATGGCGTACGTGTACAATTGCAAAAGAAAACCTGTTTACTGCGTTTTTTCCCTTCTCCTCTTGTTTTTGTCGAGAATATCCTATAAGAAAAAAGAATCAGGGAGGGGAGCAGCACTGGCCAAGACAAGAAGGAAAACGATGGAGTGGAGTTTATTATTTTTCCTACACGAAATATCAAGCGCCGATAGTTCTTGGACGAGTTTGCGACTTTGCGAGGTCTTCTTTCCTTTTCCTGTCTCTCACCCTCCCACTCTTTTTTCCTTGATAATATTGTTACTGCTCTCACCTCGGGTAAAGGCATGAAAGGTTGACATTGGCTCACGAGGATTTTCTGGTAAAGGGGATGATGAACCAGGACAGATTGTATTTGACAACGGGAGGGAATGTGCGTTTTGAGGAGTTTTTGGTCGTCTCCAGGAGATGCAATGCGATGGGATGCGATAGGAGATAGTCAATCAGAAATATGCACATTGTCAATGGTTTTATTAGGCGGCGAATTTGCTTTGATATGAGATGTCATATAGATGAAAGAACTGTAGAAGCAGGGCGTGCATCTACATATAGGTAGGTACAGAGCCGATGCTCTCCATATTGTGCTGGGCAAGGAGGCGGCTTTGTATCTGGCTTGACCGTTGACGGCGTGAATGAATAGCCTGCTGCTATCTTCGTATATACGCGGATGGATCAGCACCCTCGGGAATACCCACTGATCCAAGATTGGCTTCCCAATGCCATTTTGTTGTAGCTCTAAGCACGGTTGCGGTGCAAATCCCAATGGTGGTAAAAATAAGTTCCGAAGGCGACGGCCGCCTTGCGTCACCTATCACGGCCGCTTCCGCACCACACCGGCATTTGGTCCGCGTTCCATATTAGGTACCTGCCGAGGTACTTTGGGTGCCTATTGGGCACTGGTACCTACAGAAGTACCTACGAGGTAGTAGTTGTGCTACACTGACAGTGCATTGGGTTATTCCCCGCAAAAGGCTAAATACCGGGCGGCGAACTAGAATCCGATTGGTGACACGGCCAAGAGAAGCAAGGTGCAGATTCAAGGGTGCCAAGGATCAAGAGCTTCTCTTGACCACCTCGTCCATGGTAGACATGTTGGGCACTGCTGCATTGAAGTGCTGTGGCTTTTCTTCTATCTTCTTTTTTTTCGGACATTAGGACCAGTATTTCCCCGTCATGTCCTCGAACGCGTACAGAGTAATGGGTGCTGGATTCTTGCTCCATTGTGAGAAATGTGCCATCTGGGCAGCATCGGGAATGGAATCGGCAACAAAACTCAAATTTGGGCCCACCGCCTGCATCCACAAACCACACGAACCTGTTTAAATAGGCCGGTGAATGGCGCTTCAGTTACTCCGTACGGATCTGATTATTGTTGGTTATCGGTCCGTTGACAAGCACCGGGATCCACATGGACCAAGTTGTGCCCGTTTCCCTGGCATCTTTTAAAAAGAAGCAGCTCCCCAGTTTGTATTTCTCTCGAGGTCCGGAAGAAGGGTGTGTCTTGACGATGCCATGAGCCCTGTGAGGTGAATACATATTTCACAATGGGCTCCGAGCCTCTGACTGCCGAAAGGGATACGACGTCGAGGTCGCAACAGGGACGGGCGGATTCCGACGGAAACCACAACACCAGGACCGTCTCGGTGCATACAAACCATGATGACTCGGATGCCAGCCTTGAGCGAAACGAGCCCGGCAGCCAAGATGAGAATGGTGACTTGCCCATGTCCAAGGCACGATGTATTGCGCTTGTGGCTACCGTCACTGGGGCCGCCTTTCTCAACGTAAGTCGGTCAAATTGTTTTGGGTGGCTTCTCTTCGACTGACGGGAACCACCCGATACTTTCATTCATACTTTCATTCCCCTTAACGACTCTGGATAATTGGCAAGGGGGAGCAAAATAATCAAGACAAAAGACCAACTGACAGGGACTCTTTTGCCAGGTTCTCAACATCCAAAGCGTCGTCATCATCCTCCCTACCATTGGACGACGCCTCGACATCCCCGAAAGTCGTCAGCAGTGGATCGTTTCTTCCTATTCCCTTGCCTTTGGGTGCTTCCTCTTGCTTTGGGGTCGCATTGCCGACATCTACGGCAAGCGGCTCATCTTCATCCTGGGTTCCCTGTGGGTGACGTGTGTTACGGCGGCGAATCCGTTTATGCCTAATGAGACTGCCTTTAATCTGTTCCGAGGGCTACAGGGACTGGTAGGTTTTGACATGCACAATCACGTGTAATGAGATGAATGCTAAAGGCTCATTCGATAGGGAGCGGCCGCGACGGTGCCCACGGCTATTGGGATATTGGGCGTCACGTTCCCGCCGGGGAAAGCAAAAAACTACGCCTTCAGCACGTACGGTGAGTTCAACTCGAGCCCAGACTCGGCCACCCGCTGACCTTTGTCTTGTCAAGGAGCTGGCGCCCCCCTGGGCAGTGTATGCGGCAATCTCCTCTCCGGCCTCATCGCCGAATACGCCAATTGGAGATGGGTGTTTGGCGCGCTCGCCATCCTCTCCGCCATCATAACAGTCGCTGGAATCCTGCTCATCCCGCCTCGCCCGCCTCCTCCCCCTCCCTCGGACACCAAACCAGACGGCAGCGTTTCCGAGAGCCAGCCCCCGGCGGTGGACTGGCTCGGCGCGGCGCTCATCACCACCGCGCTCCTAGCCCTCAACCTCTCCCTCACAGAAGGTAATGTCGTTGGCTGGGCCACGCCCTGGGTGCCCGTGATCCTCGTCATGTCCATCCTCCTGATCGCGCTCTTCGCGCTCTGGCAAATCTGCCTCGAGCGCCGGCATGCCCGCGGCGTTTCTCGCGCGCCGCTCATCAAGACCTCCGTCTTCCGCAATAGGCGGTTCACCGCCGCCATGGTCATCATGGGCCTCTTCTTCGCCGCCTTCAACAACTATCTCATCTTCACTACCTATTTCTTCCAGGACTTCCAGGGACTATCGCCGCTGAACACCATGCTGCGGTATATCCCCACCGGTGTGACGGGCGTCCTGGTGGCTCTCATTGTCGCCCAGCTGCTGAGTCGCATACCGACACTGTTTATTCTTGTGTGTGGAACGCTGGCCACGTCGGTGGCGTGTCTGCTGTACGCTGTCCCGATCCCCCCGACCACGACGTACTGGGCGTACGGGTTTCCCGCCATGGTACTCGCCGTCGTGGGCGCCGATACCACCTGGCCCTGTCTGACGCTGTTCACGTCCCAGGCTCTCCCGCGGGAGGACCAGGCCATTGGTGGAGCGTTGATCAATGCCGTGGGACAGTTTGGCCGCTCCATAGGCCTGGCCGTTGGCACGGCTATTCAAACGGCTGCCATGGCCAAGGCGCGTGGCGTTGTCGTCAAGGAGGCAGGCCCTATTCGGCAGTGGGACGCGGATTCGCTTACGGGCTTGAGGGCCGCCAGCTGGGTGAATTTTGCGTTTGGAACGGCCTCCTTGTTGGTGGTTGTGACGGCGTTCAGGAGCATGGATATTATAGGCAAGTCGAGACCTGCTGCCACTTTGGTCAGGGATGAATCTGGCGGCGGGATCGTCTCGACGGAAAATAACAGTAATGACCTCGAGAGGACTGTGGCGGAGAAGAAGTAGCATAGCTCGGCGAGCCAAGTGTTATAGATTTGCATGCGAATACAGCAAACCATGATGACAAAATAATAAGTTCTCATATCTCTACATGACAATTCTGTACGTACTTGTTCTACTCATGAGTGGTATCGTGTCTCAAAACTCGGGGGTATCATGCGTCTTTCTCAGCGCCAACAAGGGCCAAAAACAGAAAAACAAAAGCGAGGAAACAAAGCACCATATTCTACCCATCCATTCTAGCTTCGACATTGAACACATCCTCCGCTTCTATGTCTTCCATTGTCTCCTCGTCATTGGCCAGTCTTCTCAGCCGTTCCCGGACCTTGGGGTCCTGTTCCATTTCCTGCCATACTTGGAGGTCCCATTCCTCCACGTTATCGTTCAATCGGTGCCTTTTCCACGGGGGCCAGTGCCACACGCCTGCTACCAACATGTTACGCTTGATAGTCTTGCCGACGAGTTCCAGGAGGCCTAGAAATGCGAGAACAATAAAGACTGTCGCCCACCATACAGCATCGTCGCCGAATGCTCGTGTAAAAGTATGCCGAATTAGATACGGGCCTTCTGGACCTGGTGCATAAACGCCGTCTAAAAAGGACAGCCAGGCAAACCAACCCCATGTTGTGATGAAAAAGGAACACATGACGATGGTTGATTTGTAGTGGGTTTCGAAAATGCTATCAACGTGTTAGAAAAAGTCTGTTTTTGAAGAAACAAATGTGTGCAGACTTGACTTACAATAGCTTCCAGTTGATCCACAGCACTCCGACAGTAAACACGAGAGTCCCGAGTGCGTATAGACCCTCGTCGCGGGCGGTAGGAGAAATCCAACCGTACCCTGCCCAGACGCCGTACCAGACAATGACTCCTTCGACTGCAGCCAAAAACATCCAGCGTGCATATTTCCATGCATTCAGTCCCATGTTGCGTTGTCCATATACGTAAAGCTCCGGGACAGCAAGGAGTGTCTCGGCGCTCAGATCCTGTTCCCAGATACCCAAACAAATTGTGCATAGGCTTGTGAACAGGGTGTTGAATACTGTCAAGCTCGTGGCTTGGTAGAGCGATGTACCGGTGTATCCATTGTATCTTTGATACTGGGCAGTTGGTAGGTAGAAGAACATTTCTTTCCAAAACGTGTAGAGAATAAACTTCGCCGTCCGTACATAGTTCCATCGGCCATGGACCAGAAGTAGTCGCTGCAAATAACGGAATTGCGCAATGGCGTAGTCTGCAACACGTGCAGCCTGCAGTCCTTCTTTTCCAGATATTCCAATACCCACATGGCTTGCTTGGATCATGGCCAAGTCATTAGCTCCATCGCCAATGGCCAAGGTCAAACCGCTATGCTTGTTGCTCTTGAACTTGCCCAAGGAGGATCGCACAGTTCTGACCAGAAGGGCCTTCTGGGCAGGAGATGCACGACAGCAAATCACCGAATCAACAAGCAGCATGATTGCGAAAAATTGTTTTGAAAGAGTGTTGGACTTTTCGACAGCTGCCAAGGTTTGACCATCAATGACAACGACGCTGTGTATCGACCCGGTGTGCAGCTCCTCGGCCAGTGCCATGAGCTGGGCTTCCAGCGGCTCTTTGGCGACGTCCAGAACGTACAGGTCGGATCCAGGGCGGCATATCCGGGCGGAATGTGCAATGTTGATGGCCGTCTCACGCTTGTCACCAGTCAGCATCCAGATTTTGATGTTGGCTCGTCGTAGTTTGTCAATAGTTTCTGGAACCCCTTGCTGGAGCTTGTCTTCAATCGCAGTTGCTCCGACAAGATCAAACGACTGTTCAATCACATCAGCCGCCGCCTCAATGAGGTCCTGCCGATTTACAAGACTGGTTGATGCGTCATCGTAGCGCTTTTTCCAAGCCCTGTAGTCATGATCGGATACAAACTTTTGGGCATAGAGCAATGTTCTCAAGCCTTCTGTTGCAAAATCGTCCAAGTGCTTAAAGCACTTGGTAAAAACCTCAGATTCATCATATATGGTAGAGTCTTCAAGGAAACCGAGGTGCTCTGGTAAGGATTGCGGTTGGTGATGGTTCGATTGGCTTAGTAGCTTCGTTCTAGATACGTCCAAGGAGACTCCGCGCGGTGCAGACAACCCGCCATGTGGGCGGTCATCGGAAAGTCTCATGAGCTTGTGGATTTCGAACGACTGTCGTCTTTTCATAGAAGATCGTTGTTGATCGATACTGCGGCCTCGGTGTAGACCGGCAGTTCGGCGTACGGTTAGACTCGGCCTACCGCCGAAACTATTACGAGGTTCGTACTGTTGGCTTCGACGGTACATCTCATGTTCAAGATCTGCACTTTTTCTCACTTCACTGGCCTTTTGCATAGCCAAGGAAGCTAATTTTAGCCTAGGCAAAATCACCGAATCGGCACCTTTGCAGATAATCGATATCCGCCCATCTGGATACCGGACAACGATTGACATGCGTTTTCGTGCGCTGCTGAACTCGATCACATCCAAAATCTCGAATGTCATTTTTTCAAAGCCCCCGCTGGGCAGAGGGACTTGCAAGGTGACTGATTTGGCTGTACGACGGGTAACCTGATATCCTAACTCGTAGGCGGCTCGAACCAAAGCTAACTCATCCGGCGAGGATGCTTGGAAATCAATTTTACCGTCTTTTACTTCAGGTAAGCAAGTGTGGCACAAGGCAACCGCCAACAGATACTCTTTAGCTTTCCTGGCAAACGCGGAATGTGGTCGAATTCTGAGATAGTCAACGAGATCAGATGTATTGACGTCTGGTTGGATATGGTCTGGGCGACCCGTTGAACGCCATTGCGAGGACGACCGTCGGCCACCAAACGATGCCCTTGATGGAGACATTGGCATCTCTAAGTCGTTTATTTGTTCCTCAAGAATGATAGGGCCGGATTTTTGAACTGAGCCTTTTCGGTCGGAGTAGCTCATCTCTCCGGAATGTGCAGGTGGTTTCTGAATATCCTCATCATCGATCAGGTCCTCATGCAACCAAACGGTGCCTGCAACACTCAATTTGCGGAATTTCATTATGTTGTCCGTCAAGGTTCCAGTTTTGTCAGAAAATATGTAGCCAACTTGACCTAAATTCTCCAAGATGGTGTTGGTGTTGCACCGAGCGGGAGTGTCAGACTCGTCATGGTACATTTCGATGTCGGAATTCAGTAGCAATAGCTGGCCAATCTTGACAATCTCCAAGCTAATGTATAGAGCCAGAGGAACAACGTTGTTAAACATAATAATGAATGCGATGATGATTTGGTAAAAGGGGACCGTGGCCATGTCCAAATACCAGGCATGCTGCTCATAATCGCTTTTCCATTTGACATAGCCCATTGATACGCCGACAGAGAGAATAACAACATAAGTGGCAAGGGTTATAACAACCATGTTGACGACTTTTTCAAGTGCCGGCTTTTTTGCTCTCGGGTGCTGGTTTGAGTTCATGCGCACCTTGCATTCCTCTCCAGTGTTGATGACAATCCCGGTAGCAGACGTAGTATTTCTCATGACGCTCCCTCTGTAAATGACATCATTCAGCGTCAATGGCACAGCTTTCCCATTCACCGTGACTCTACCGTCAAAATTGAAGAGTTCAGGATTCGGGTCTTCTACAACAAACTCAGCTTGGGAAGTTGAGATTCCTTGAATCGTGCCACAACCCTCAAGGGCATGACAAACCTGTTTGGTTTTGAGATTTGTTTCACCATCAAGAGCCATCGTGTCGATATATGTCAGACCGTTTTCTCCATCACTGTGTAGTAAGACCAGATCGGCTGGGATGGGTTCATCGCGAGACACCCTCACGATGTCCCCAACCTTGATGTTGCTCCACCTAGTCGGCACCCAGCGAATACCCTGAAACTCGTCGGCGGGGCCAGGCCTAGGTTGTGCTGTAGTCTTAATATGGAAAGGGTTCAGACGATGGAGTAGATTCGGTGGCTTGAGTTTCCCCGTGTAGTGGTCTTCTCGACCAAGGACTGTCGCAAAGTTGGCATTTTCCACCTTGTCCAATCGATGTCTCCTAAAATCGTCATATCCCTCCTTGGCGACTGTCAAGAGAATAAAGAAAAGTAAAGGCAAGATTGTTGTATACGACCCAGTCGTCGACAATCCGGGAATCTGTGGTCGAAACAAGGTTAGCGGGACAAAGGCCGAAGGCTCAACGGCGAAGCAGAGGGAGGGAGTCGACTGGTGTCAAGATGCTCACCATTTGCGGCACGCCAACACACAAAAAGTAAAAGTTCCCCACGCGAGTGAATTGAAAAAACAGCTGCTTCGGGATGAAATTCCACACCGTGTATCGTGAGGTCCGAACATTGTTGGAGATGTATGCGTGGCCTCGTCTGGTGTCGATCAAGGGCTCGCTGTGCTCAACGGCAAGTGGGATGTGCCTTCCGTCTTTGGAAGCAGACAAATGCTTGCGCCGTAGGATTAGTTCGACCACAGTGGACTGATAGAACTTGCTGGCGGCATCACGGAGCTTGCTCTCCAGCTGCTGTATTGAAGGGGCTCGAATGGCCGGTGTTTTATGTCGTCGCAATTTGGATTCGTGGGTATTTTGGACCGGGCGCTTTTCCGTTGTGCTGTACTCACTCTCGGCCATGATGCGATTGGAAGCGAATCAAGGAGAGCCGGACACTTCCCGCTGCCAACTCTTCGGAATCCCAAGAACGAAGGACAAGGGCTCTGAGGCGAGATTGGGGCTTGAAAAACGAAGGATGCCAACAGCAAACCCAGGCCTTCTTACGTTGCTGCCCAGCTCGACGCATTCGTCACGTCCCAGTGCACCGGCGAGAAAATACCCACATCCAGAGTGAAACCAGGACGGCGCCTCGTATCCAAAAGATGGAGAAAAGGGACTATTGCACAGGGGTCTAGGGCGTCTTCCGGGCCGTGGGCGCGTTGTCCAAGACAAGGTCTCGGATCGAGCGACGGAACCGTTGAAGCGCCTGGGTCGGTTGGGCAGTGCAATGCAGTGCTACGTGGTGGCTCGACTCTTATTTTCTGGCAGACAAACGACGAAGGCAGCGAACGAAGGACTTTCCTCCCCAAGATCTAGAAAGGATTTTCGAGTCTCGCACAGAGTAGGGCACGGTTGTTGGTTTGCTCAGACTACGGAGTATTAGTACTCCATTTACACGCCACCTCCCTTTTCACCAATGGATCATTGATCGACAGCAACACGCAATAGATCTACAATACCAGCGACATCGGTTCAAGCGTTGCCCGCCGGGCTACGGACTACTCCGTTCAGCTACCGCTACTATTCAAGCACAATACGGACATTGACTCGAGCGCGACCAGGTGGCAACCTTGTGAACACACTTGGGTGGACTGGACAAAGAATGGTGGCCTCTCGCCTCTCAGCATGCAGCCATGGTTGGACGGCGCCTTGGCCTGCCCCCCTGAGGCGGCGTCCGCCAACAGACCATGTGCGCCAATCCGCAAGCATCAAGCCAGCCAGCCAGCCCCAGAACTGAGCACGCCAGGCCATAGGGAACAATCAAGAACTTCCATTAGACTAAGAAGTCAAGCCACGTGTGGGCGGCAATGGCGCTTGCGCCGGAACATTAATCTAATGTGCATAAACAGGCCCCTGCATGTGGTGGCTTCATCCCAATAAAGGACCTGTTGTGGACGTGGAGGACTTGCTCATCCATCACGATGAACTATTCCCGCCTACCACAGCTCTGCATTGCCTTGTCAGAGTGCTCTTCTCTCAATCGCTTGGGCCCCTGTATCCAACGACGCTGTCGGTGTCAATAAATAAAGTGTCACTATACGGGCTCGGTGAACTTATCACAGGACATTGTAATCCAGAGCGAGTGTTAAAGATGGGTAACGGTTGGGTAAATTCGAAAATGGCCAGGCGGCTGTTGCTGGCTGTACAGTTTATGCTTGTTGTTGGAGGCAATCTTTCGTGGATGGCAAGGGCAGTCAATACGTTTGTTACAACTCACAGGAGCGCCTACACAGAAACACGCAGAAGTTATGGTGTCAATTTTTGTATTACCCGCTCAGAGCTATTTCTGATATCCCAATCTAGGCTCTTCTAATTCTTCTGCCCGGTGTAAGTACCTCAACCAGTGGCCTGACCGTACCAATTGAGCCAGTTTCACAAAAATATCAAATTCCCCTGTCTAACGCCATGGCCGAATTGCGCTGCTGCTCGTCTAAAATAAAAATGAAACAAAGAATAATAAGCTTAAAACAGCTTGCGATTTTCAGGTTCACGAATCAACGACAACAACCTTCCGAAGAAAAAAGCAAGGGAGAAAAGAAAAAAAAGGTCCAACACACAAAGGTCATGAGCATTCATGCGATATCCATTCGGCTTTAAACCAGAACGCCTCGAGTGTTCCCTCTTATGCCTGCACCTGGGGGATGTTGTCCATACTACCACCATCCTCAAGCCATTCCTTTTTAATGAGCTGCTCACGGGCGGCAAAAAGATGCTTATAGGCTGTCTTCACAGTGCCGTCACTAACACCCGCTTGCTTCGCAATAGGAAGCGATGAGCGAGGTTCGCCGACAAGATGACAAGCCATATAGATGCACGCGGCAGCCACGGAGAGGGGAGATCGTCCAGCAAGCGCCGAGATGTCGTTTGCCTTCTCCGCCAAGTCTCGGGAAATCTTGGAAATCTTTTGCTGGTTCTTGAAGCCGAGTTGCGACACGTACCGGCTGCAAAGATCTTCGGCACCAACAGAGGTATTTTCGTAATTGGTCACAGTGTTCAAGCCCGTCGCGCCCTCGCCCTCGGTATCCTGCAGCTTTTGGAGAAACTTTTGCAGCTGCTTGAAGACGCGGCCGACTTCCTTCTTGCTGACACTGGTGAGGTTGAAGATTTCACGAAACGTTCGCGGTACGTTGTTCTGCCGACAGGCGATGAAGATGCATCCGGCAATCACAGCTTCCTGAGGCTTGCCCTTCATGAACTTGTGCTTGTCGACGAGTTTGAAAATGTGCTTGGCAGCGTTGGAGACGTTTTGGCCCATGTTGATGGCTTCACAGAGCGAAACAATCTCTTTGTAGGCCTGCATCAATCCCTTCTGCGCCTTATCCTGGTTGGCGTTGTTCTGGGTCCGCGAGAGAGCCTTGTGTGCCTTAGACTCGGAGAAGGCGACAGTCGTCGCAAGCTGTTCGCCTTCCACGAACTCATCCTGCGGACCGCCGACACGGCTGGGATCATCGCCACCATGATCGTCGTTGGCAAAGGTACGCCATTCCGACCGCGTGTCGATGATACGGGTGCCGACGACAACACCACAGCTCTGGCACACCATATCACCGCTGGAGAACTCTTCCACTAGGTTGGGCGGGATCTCTTTGCAGTCTGGACAACAAAGGATGTTGTTCAGGTCTTCTTGGTAGCCTCCGCCATTCGCGTCTCCTCCTGGGGGAAACATCCTGGCTTCGTCTGGATTGGCGGCGCGACCGCAGGTCACTTGCTCAGACACTTTACGGATTCGCTTGGCCGCCTCGAGTCTTGTCTGCAGCTCTCGTGTCTTTTCTTAACTACTGTTTTGCGAGCTGAAGGGATTAAAATCTCCCTTAGCCGTGGGGAAGAAAAAAAGGCAGCCGTGAGCTGGGCCGGGGAGAGCAGTGAAATGCACGTTGGCGGTCGAAGTCACATGACCACGCCACAATTAGAAGTTTGCTTACTCCACGCAGCTTCTGAAGCTAGTCCATTATTAATACGGCCAACGGGTCGTCAATCATGTACTAGCTTGTAGTAGTAACTTGGTCATTATTGCAAAATCTTGATTGGTCTGATTGATGACTGGTAGCTACCAGAAGCAGAAACCCGCAGAATCTTTTTCTTTATCGGCACCGTCCTGCACCAACTTGAAAGGTACCCAGGTACTTGGACACTTCAGTACTAGGATGCATTGAGGGACATTTAAAAGCCAGCGCGTGGATCCGAGATCAGCCAATAATGGTCCTCGCATCAGCATTTACCCACTAAAACTTCCGCACCTTCACGCTCAATTGAGTTGACATTGCAGCCGTCAGTCAGATGGGCTGACTCACGTTGAGGCCGGTTCAACATAGTGCTGTCCCGAATATTTAATAACAGCCTGGCATAACTCTATATTGCCAGCATCTCCTGGTGACCTTGCAGTGATATTGCGAAGTCACAGCCCGACAATGGCATCCACACCCACGCCCTCTGGCTCTGGCTCTAGCCAGCCGGGTTTGCCTCCAGTTGACTTGAAGCCGTTGTTGACCAAGCTCTGGCCCGTCAATAATGAGGTGACGGCGGATGAAATTGCCGAGGCCATTTCTCATTTCTTCACAAACCAGGTGACCGAGGCGCAGACCGCCGCGCTGTTGATGGCCCTTCATTTCACCAAGTTGGATTTCCGAGCAGATGTTCTGCAAAAGACTGCGGCCGTCATGCTGGAAGCTGCTGAGGACATCCCGGTCAAGGAGCTGAATGAAGTTCTGGCGAGGAGAGGCAGGAAAGAAGGCGCTTACAATGGCGGCTTGGTACGTTCCATACTGCTCATCCATCTTACAATACAGCCAGAGCATGCCGTTGATACTTTGACATGTAGTGCGACATTGTTGGCACAGGAGGTGACTCTCACAACACCTTCAACGTCAGCACGACAGCATCCATCCTCGCCTCTTCGCTTCTCATGGTGTCCAAGCACGGAAACAGAGCCAGCACCTCCAAGTCAGGCAGCGCCGACATGCTCAACAGCATGAAACCCAGGGCGCCGGTCCTGAACGCCGTCAAGTCCGGCTCCCTCGTCAAGGTGTATTCGGTGACCAACTACAGCTTCCTGTTTGCGCCCGTCTTCCACACCGGCATGCGCTACGTTGCTCCCGTTCGAAAGCAGCTGCCATTCAGAACCATCTTCAACAACCTGGGGCCACTGGCCAACCCCGTGGAGGATGTCTTGGAGGCACGGGTGATTGGTGTTGGGCGACGGGACCTTGGTCCGGCCTTTGCTGAGGCGTTGAAAGCTGCTGGCTGCCGCAAGGCCTTGATTGTCTGTGGAGAAGAGGAACTCGACGAGATTAGCTGTGCCGGCGGGACTCTTTGCTGGATGCTGCGGGAGAAGTCTCCCGGAGGCGAGGTTGCCATTGAGCGCTTTACCATTACCCCGGAGGATTTCGGCGCCACGCCTCACGCCCTCAGCGAAGTGTCGCCAGGCAAGGAGGCGGCTGAGAATGCCGAGATCCTGCGACAGATTCTTTGCGGGGAGTTCCCGGAAAATGATCCGTTAATCGACTTTATAGCCATCAATACGGCCGCCCTTTTTGTGGTGTCGGGCATCTGTGAGGCCGACACCAGTGACATGGGGCACGGCGATGATGGCAAGGTCATTTTGGAGCGCGGCCACGCTGGTCAGCGCTGGAAGGAGGGCTTCAGGAGAGCCAAGTGGGCTATCAAGAGCGGTCAAGCTTGGAAGCAGTGGCACGCCTTTGTCGAGGTTACCAACGAGATCGGCTCATGATGGATACCGGGGTCTGGCACTTGTTGGACCTTGTGATAAAGACGGGTCAGATGGAAATTTTGACGTTTCACACAACATTTATATTTACCTAGAGATAAAACAGCCTTGGGGATATGTGCTGTCCTGCAGCGCCATGTCGAACTTGGCCTCGCGTCGGCAGCTCGTGAGTACTACAGCAAAGCCACATCGCATGATTCATTACCAAGTCCCATTTAGTATTATTCTCCTCCTCAGTCGTCTTCTCCCCCAGCTACTCATAGATCTCTCCGTCTCCTACTTCTTGGTTTTCGTCATGAACGGCTACCTCTGTCCACCCCACCCGACCTGCATCTGCGGCCCTGTGTTACACCCTTTGCTCACGTCAGTAGTTTCTTCCTCCTCTTCAACCACCTCTTCGGTGCTGTTGAGCTGTGTACTATCCGGGACGAATGGATCAGAGGCTCTTTGCGCAGATGGTGGGTGTCTCAGCATCATCACGCTGGGATGGCGAGTCGGCGATCTCGACTCGTCCCTCCGTAGTCCCGCCTCAAACTGCTTCCAGTCTTTTAATAAAGAGCCCGTTTTCTTTATCTGGCAGATGTATTCTCCTTGATCACTTCTCCTCCCGCTTCGGTCTTCTTCGTAAAGGTGAGTCGCAGGCCCAACGTGCGGCTCGGTTGATGCCATCCGGCCGGCCAGCGACTTCCGAATAATGTAATTTCTTTGGTCCTCATTTCCGGATTCCAAAACATTGTTTACAGACATACTGTGCGTCGTTTTTGGCAGTTTCGCGCTCGAGGGTTGAGAATCAATGCAGTGGACTTGGCTGTAGGATTGCTGTTGCCTGTACTTCAGGACAAGGATAACGAGGGCGGCAACAACGCCGGATATGATGATGATGGCGGCTATTATGGTGACGACGATCCAGATTCCATATTCTGGAGTCTGGTCTTCGAATGACACTCGCTTCGACAAATGCGCCATGGTGATTGTGTTTGGCGAACGGCCACCACCTCAGGATGCTCATATCATGTGGTGAGCATGGCCCGAGTCTTGATTCAGAAATGGGGGAAACGTCAAGAAATACGAGGGGTCATGGAATTTGTCACTTTGATTGCTTCATTTGGCACCAATCACCCGGGGTGTCGACTGTGCCGCGCCTTGTCTTCTATTATTGGCGGGTTGCGTATGATGGAAACATGGGGGGGTGAGAATGCAGGCCGGCAAGAGAGTTTGCGGTCTGGAACAGGCTAGACATGGCATGCTCTCTTGTTTTGATGAGAAAACTTTTCGTTTCATTTTATTTTTACAATATTACTTGGGCTTTGGGTTGTTAGCCAAGCGGATAGAAGTGTATATTTGGCATCTAGGACATGACGAAAAAAACGACGGGAATTGGGGTTTGCCGCTCTATTGAACAAACAATTGAGATCATGACAAACAGATGGTACCGCGACATCTCTTGGTGCCTCAAACGTTTTGCGGCATCCAGGGGCGCATGGATCATTGATTTAAGAATAGATTGATGATATGGACAAATGACCTGTCTAGCTACGGAGTAGACGTAGTCAACACTGCCGAACGAGGGCTGCGCCTCCATCTTATAAACGCATTGGCCACCAGAGAGAGTGCTTGAGTATTTAAAGTAACAAGGTGCGAACCAACAGAAATGCGTGTGGGCAAAAGTCGATCGATGCCGGCCCAGACAGGCATTGTCGGCTTTCGCTGGAGTGCCTTGCAAAGCCATTGGAGCACATGATTGGTCCTCGGGAGGCCATGTAGGGTGCTTCGGCCCCGGATTTCGAACGTTGTTCAATGTTGACGTCAAATTGACTTGACTGGCAAAAGCAGCACTGACATCAATAATGGCTCCAGATGTCTGACTAAAGCTCAGGGTGCCTGGCGGGCTCAACCGCGGGGAGCCGGGACCCGCGGCCAGGGAACCAGACAGCCAGGCCAGGCAGCTACGGAGTACTACAGTGGGTGTAGTACTACTAATACTAGTGCCAGGTAGTCCGTGGCGGGCGGGGAGCCCCTGACTGCCCGTCTGCACATGCCAACTGGCCCTGGAGCACTGGAGCGCCAGCCCAGCCGCCCAGCCGCCGACCAATTGGGGCAACTTGACCGCCCCAACATTGAAGCCCCCCTCCCCCGGACGCCGCTCTGTGCCGAACATTGAACCCCACTGTCCCTGCTTCCCCCGATTCCGCTCCGCTCATCACCGACTACTGCTACGTATCATATCCGACATGCACCTTCTCCTTCGCACTTTCCACATGCATGTTCCTCCTGTGATCCTCAATCTTCCTCCGAACCAACTCGCACCTCAACAACGCGGTTGACAACGCGCGCGTTGGCAATGTCGGCCGTTTCCAGGTGCATCCGGCCGCTGTCGGTGATGCGGTCCTCGCGCCTCGCCAACGGCTTCCGTCGCTATTCCAGTGCATCAAAGACTCCGCTGCCCCTCGAAGGATATCGCGTGTTGGACATGACCCGTGTGTTGGCTGGTGTAAGTGCCTTCAAGCCTTGACCGCCATCAGCTCCGACCAAGAGTTTCCATCAAGAGCTCCCATCACGTCGCGCCGCCAACATGTTCGGATGGACTCTGCTAACACCGCCATGATCCAGCCCTACTGCACTCAAATTTTGGGCGACCTTGGGTAAGTTGAGCATTCTTCACAGCTTCCCAACTATAAACTGTTGGACGTCGTCTTTGCTAACCTGCTCTCTTCAAAATACAGTGCCGAGGTCATCAAAATTGAGCATCCCGTGAGAGGAGATGACACGCGCGCGTGGGGGCCGCCATATGCCGCATACAAGCCGGATACCAAGGCAGACGGCCCTGGAGAGGCAGCATATTTTCTCGGGGTAAGCCAGCCATCAATCAATCATCTCCGTCTTGCCATGTCACCACCTTGCAGCCGACAATGAATTCAGCTTCTGGCCCCGCTGACATCTCATGTCACAGGCCAACCGAAACAAAAAGTCACTGGGTCTCTCTTTCCAGCATCCAGAGGGGGTGGACATTCTGCACAAGCTTGTTGCCAAATGTGATATCCTCGTCGAGAATTACCTTCCCGGCACATTGAAGAAGTACTCGATGGATTACGAGACTGTACGCAAGATCAATCCCGGTCTCATTTATGCCTCCATCACCGGCTACGGGCAAACAGGGCCATATGCCAACCGCGCCGGTTACGATGTCATGGTGGAAGCTGAGTTTGGCCTGATGCACATCACCGGCCAGAGAGACGGTCCTCCCGTCAAGGTTGGCGTGGCCGTTACTGATCTTACCACAGGCTTGTATACCAGCAACAGCATCATGGCAGCACTTCTGGGCAGGGCCAGCACAGGCAAGGGCCAACACATCGATGTGGCCTTGAGCGACTGCCAGACAGCAACCTTGGCGAATATTGCCAGCAGTTGCCTCATCAGTGGGAAGAAGGACACGGGTAGATGGGGCACGGCGCATCGTGAGTAACTGCACCCGCCATCAAAAGACGGGAAGCTGACAGGCCCTAGCCTCAATTGTTCCTTATAGATCATTCAAGACTAGGGACGGAGACATCCTCTTTGGCGGTGGGAATGATCGTCTGTTTGGCGTCCTATGCGACGGCCTTGGCAAACCTGAGTGGAAGGATGATGCAAAATTCAAGACAAACGCGGACAGAGTCGCGAACCGCCAACAGTTGGAGGCCGAGATTGAAGCCATCTCACAACAAAAAACCACAGAGGAGTGGCTACAGGTGTTCGAAGGCAGTGGTATGCCCTACGCAGCCGTGAACGACGTACAAACCACGTTGAACCACGCCCACACAAAGGCGCGTAACATGGTTGTTGAAATGGAACATGAGATTTGCGGTCCAATTAAAATGGTCAACACCCCCATCAAATTCTCTGAAACCCAGCCTTCCATTCGCTCCGTGCCACCTATGCTTGGCCAGCACACTGATGAAATTCTCAGTGACCATCTTGGTATGAGCCAGTCGGACATTTCAGACCTGAAAGAACGAGGGGCCATACGTTGAAAAAAAAAGAGATATTGTCAAAAGAACATTAGACATAACGTAAATACATGTAATAAATCCATCAATTCCATCTATATCTATCGTCACATATTGTTGTCGCGGTGCAGGCTCATATGGATATCACGTGATGGCCATCCGCCGAAGAGTCAAGACCTGGTCTGCAATTGTCGCCAGACTCACTCAATCCATCGTGCCTTCACTCCCTCCCTGAGCTCCGGGAATATATAATTATCGTTCATCGCCAACGAATGGTAGATGAATTTCTCTTCTTCGGTTATCCGTCACCATCTGTCCGAGCATCGGCACACAGCTTCCATGCAAGTTTATGCCTTGACCAATTTCAGGTCATCCAGATGATGGCGTCAGCACCAGAGACGCCGGTAGGGGAGGAATGCATAGCTGTTAAGATTATGGACTCCGACCACACGCCTTCCATCCCCTCATCTGTCGACATGAATGCCACACAAGACATTTCAAATGAGATTGTAGGCCACCATATCGTTAGCAGCAACTATGCGCCGCAATTCGACTCGGCAGCTGCATTCATTCTAAGTCGGATTCGAGATACCAATGACACCTTCAAACCACCCAGGAGAGGCTCATCAGGCATTCTCAATAAGCTTGGCCGAAAAGGGGGGATGGTAGAGGCTATGGATTCATGGACAATGCCGTTGCCTAATGCCCCTACTCCAGCCTTGTCCCTTACCTCGACGTCGCATCAGGAGCAACTAGCTTCCATCTCTTCCAGCTTAAAACGCAAGCGCGACCCTGAGTCCGAGGCTCCTGACTTTACACAGAGTACAATTGCATGTCCGGAGTCGATGGTCCATTCTCATTCCAAAGTCATCGCATCTTGTCAGCCATCAACTGCCGAGAGCAGCACACCAAAAACTGCCTTGGGGAACCTTCACTCATCAATCAGCCTTTCCGGTCAGGCCGCAGTTGAAAATATAAGAGAAAAGAGGCTTTCAGTCATTACGGATGGCATTTCTCCCGCAAAGTCAGAGTTGGTTGGCTTTTATGCTGGGCAGGCATCCGATATAGTTGTGAGTTCTGTCAACACGCTCCATCACGGCCTTGTATCAAGCTAACGTGAGCACTTGGAGCGTACACAATATTTCCTGGGGAAAAGAAGGACAGACTTGCTGAATATTCTTTCATTCTGCGACCAACTTCGGCCGCAACTTCTTGCTGATATTCTGGTGTCAGTGTCGAAAAAACATCCAGACTTGCCCATTTTCGACTCTCCAGACTGGCAGAGGCCGATTTCCAGCTCTCTAGACGCCCAGATTGCTGCGGCAGTGCGTCGTGCCCGTCCAGCTGGAAGGCCTAGACATGGCCACACTGTACTCAATCCGAAATCGAGACAAAGGCAAAAGAACGCAAAGAAGGCGTTAAAACGTCTAATAAGGGCAGAACATGAGGTTGACACCCCAGAGGATGAGGACGTCGAGGAGGACGTGCTCCCGTCTACTTGGCCAAAGGCAGGACAAGGCTTATACTCCAAACTTCCTCCAGAAACCGAGGACAGGACATTCCTAGCTGACGACAATGATGACGAATCGTTTAGCCATTTCATGGTGGACAACCTAGGAAAACCAATGATTGTATCGACATGCGCGTGAAGGCTTTTTAAATAAAAGATTGTGGATTCTTTGCGTTCATAATTGTATAATGTACCTCTCTTGACTATATTCTGTATACCCCATAGATTCGAAGCAGCACTCTATAACACCGTTTCTTTGTCACCGGTATGTAAATAGTATACCAAATCCGGTTCCTACTAGTACATTTACCTGGAGTGATCACACGTTTGAAATTTCAAATAAGATGCCAGGCTGGGTATATTAGAAATTATGGAGACTATTTCATCGCCTCAAAAAGAAAATTAACTATTTACATCGTTGCAGACATGAGACCCAACGCCAAGAAGTTACCGGATGCAAACGCTAGATCGTTTTCTATCAACAATAGCACACTCAAGCCGTTGGTACAGGCTCTTCACACATCAGGTCTGGCTAATCATTTGCAGTGGCAGTCGAAGGTAGACAGAACAGTCTTGATAATACCGCCAACAAGACACAGAAGACTGTCAACGACAACGTTGACGACCACCTTCAAGCTGTTGACGACGAGGATAACCTTCGGGAGAATGCAAAGGCCAACGAGGCCAGTGATGCGACCGCCCAACTCGCCTACAACGTCAATATAGTTGGGGCAGCCCTTGGTGCAGTAGGCGACGCAGTCGAAGTTGCACTTGCCAATGCCGAGCTTGCAACCGAGGTTCTTGATGATGCTGAAAAGACTCAGGCCCAGGCTAGCCTCAATGTCGGCCTGGATAACGGCGAGACCAAGAAAGTCAGTATTGAAAGCAATAACGGCATCAACGACGCTTTCGAGGTAAAGACCGGACAGAGCAGCACACACTTCCTTGAGTGCAACACTGATGTTGGCATTGATGTCAATGTCCACCCCGGCAATAAGCTCGAGCGCGATAGTGATGTCAGCAAGGAAGACGATAGTGAGAGGGCTAGCCTGGCACCACTCATGCTTTTCGTCATAAGCGACGATCTTGTTGGGAGCGGCAGCGCAGAAAGCGCCAAGTTGGATGTTGACTGAGCCGTAGACCGCGACATTCGGCATGGGCCAGGCACCATGCATCTTCTCACCGACACAAGTGTTGTTGCCAAGGTCGAGCCACTGACCAGGATCGCAACCGCAGCACCTGGTCCAGGGGCTGTAGGTCATTTCGTGAGGGCATGTGTAGCCCTCGTGGCGTGCCCTGGCGTCGTCAATGTTGACGCTGACTTGGGCATTAAGGTCGCTGTGGGAGCCAACCACTACATCTGCATTGACATTGGCATTGGCATTGACGCCGAGGACGGTGGCAGAAGCAAGACCAGCCAGGCTGGCGAAAGCAGCAATGAAACGCATAGTGTTGGTTCGGCGAGAGTCCGCTAAAAGCAGCGACTAAGTTTGGGTATCAAAGAGCGACTGATTATTCAGAAACGAATGAATGACGAAGCCGAAGCGTTCGAGGGTTCTGGATTTGCTGTTGAAGAGTCTAAAGGATGAAAGATGACGGAGTTGAGGAGGACCGCACATGGACTTATATAACATTCACGGACCGTGTTTCTTTCGATGTCCAGCTGCCTGTAAGTTGTCTCCTATCTCAAATTGGTCCAAGCACGGCGTATGTACAACAACAAGGCCCAAATTAACACAATGTTAGTAGTACTCCGGTCTGCCATGAGAAGTCCACTTTCCATGATGCAAAGCAAGTCTCTACGCAGACCGGCCCGCCACCCCGGTTGAGCAGCTCGACCAAAAATCATCGTGGACTGCATACACTCCGTACCGAACAGGGCCCTCACCCATGTCGCTGGTCTAATTTAGCCGGAGACGGTGCATTTCAGCCACCACCTGATGGTCACCGTCATACGAACATAGAGCAAGTGATTTAAAGCAAGCAAGGGTTTCTCCCGAGTATCTGTGGAGCCTGGCTGCCGCTCTTTCATAACCTTCTCGCAAGGGACAGACGGATCACAGCATTTACCAGGCGTAACAGCAACACGATGACGGATTTCCACATGACAGAGCAGGGGGGGGTACGAAGTACGTACATATGTATCAAGCAAACAGGAGGCAAGCATTGAGGTTGACAGCCCCACAAGATGCAGGATATGCCGGAGAGAAGATTAGCAAGAGGCCCGTGAACAGCGCCAGATATCTACGCTTCCCATCCGATTGGGTCTGTATACCAGATGGACCAGTTTTACAGGGCCGACGGCAAGGGACGCAATACTCAGGTACAGGAGGATTTGCAGCAGCTATCGGAGAAATTACGGTGTAGTACTCCGTACTTGCGATGACAGTTGCACGAGACGGCTATGCCAAGTCGGTGATTCTAGAAGATGTTACTCCGTACGGAGTGGCCATTGTTTTTCAGGGCGGATTTGCAGACACAGGGTCCAATCCCGGCACTCCGGTCCTCGAGGCCTTGTCAATTGTGCTACCTTGGCGAAAGGGGCACTTGTTTGCCGGGACAAGATTCAAAGCGCCTGTTTGCTCCCGATGGAGCAGTGTCACCTGGGCTGTGGCTTTTGCGGTCTTGGGCACTATTGTACTCCGTAGGCGAATCTGACCAGACGTAAAGTAACCTGGGCCACCTCTGCTGCGGCAGATCCACGACATGACGGGGCCTTGAAATCCTGGTTTGACATTCTCCATACCCGATGCCACGTACTACCCGATTTTCAGCAAAATATGGAGTACCCCGTACGGAGTACTACTAGCAACTTCAACTAGCCAGCCGGTGGAAGCCATCTGACAGCAGGCTAATATCAACTTCTACTAACGGATCGACTGTCCCAGCTATTCCCATCCTAGCGTCACATCCACCTTGAGAGCCTCTGAATCACCACGTGAAGCCCAGCTCAGAGTGTCTTGTCGCCAGTCACGGAGAATTTTTGGGTGATAACCCAAAAATCGGACGACGAGTTCCACTACATGGGCTGGCCTGCAGAGACGGTAGCCACTCTCATCCTAACCACAAGGTTGGATTCTTGAGGCGAATTTGCCAGGCTGAGACAAGAGAAATAATACGTCTGGTACTACTCCTATTGTACTCCGTACGCTGCCAATGAGGCTAGTACTAGAGTTGTGTAATTTGAATGGCCCGCTTCAGAGACAATGTTACGCATGTCCTTTTTGCAGCAGGAAAAGACAAAAAAAAAAGCAAGTTTGCCTCCATGCCCAATGCCTGTTCTTGGTCAATCGGTCAAGCAAGACTGATCCCCGTGGCCCAGGCCTCGACTCCCAATGTCTCACAGTACTAAGGGGTTCGACAGGGCCAGTTTCTGATGGAGAGATCGGTTCTGATACCAACACAACTTACGGAGTACTCCGTACTAGTATCACCCGCAAACCAAGATCAGCGGTCTAATACCCCAGAAGCGGGAACGGGCGTCTGTACGGAGTACAGGGCACAAAGTGCTGGGGTTGGTAGATCCATGTCCCGCCTTGTGTTGAGAAGAGCCACGACGGAAGAAGTGGACACTGGCGGCTATGCGTGGGCCTGGCTGGTTGAGGGTACGGAGTACGGAGTAGTATTTACACTGTGTGTCCTGGACGGTCGTCAAGCCATGCACTCTCGGGTTCTACCAGAAAAGAAAAAAAATGAAGTTCATAATCTCATCGCCGCCCGTTCTGGCTTGGGTGATTCAGACGTCTCATTGCCGGCCCATCGCGCATGTGACAATACTACCCGGGTCATGCAGCCACAAATCTCCCTGCAAGCTACGGAGTACGGTAGATTGAGGCTCAGAGTGGTCTGAATCACCGTTGCGGTGTTCCTGAATAACGTGGTCTCCAAGAAGGTGTCGAGATGATCCAGAAGTCGTTCGTTCGTTCGTCGACGACGATCCTCTAGCCAACGGTCTGGACAGCGAATCACACGAAGCAATCTGCCGAGTACGAAGCACAACACCAACAGGTCTGGTGGGAGTGACAATAATGTCGCCCACGGCGAGTCTGCCTGCGGGAACCTTCCCATCAACCAAGTCGCCGGGCTCGCCACAAATGTCAATCCACTTCATAAATTTCCAGAGAACCAAGCCCCTCAGGCCCAATAGTATTTGCTGTTGAGGTGGGAAATGTGCCTCTTGGCGCGCACATGCCCGTGTGGCTGGACGAGCTGGGCCATTACTTGGCCGTCATTTCGCCATCTCAGAGGCCAAAGTGAGACACCAAATGGGACAGTCACGATAGTACGGAGTACCTAGTATACTATTGGGCACGTTCCAAAAAGTATGTACAATGGTTCAATCTTCAGAACCCCAGTCTCATTTTCCAACAGATTGACATCCCATGGCAAATGATACACGTCGTTTTCGGAACCTACTTGCCGGTCGCGAATACTGTTGGCCGACTCCTAACGAGGGCCCTGCCCAACCAAGTCAAGGGAGTGAATGAGCGGTGCTCAAGCTGAGCTTCGCTAACAGAGTCAAATATGTGCATCCCCGGTCATGGCGGAATCCCCCTTTTTCGCTGTGCCATAATGACGCTGCCTCGCGCTTCAAACTAAGACATTGCAACAAATTTTTTGTTGGGTCGCGGACAAGAAAATTTTTCGACAGACTGCTCCATATATGACTGGTATTATTGAATGTTGCACAGCCAAGGCGCCGAAGTTCCGGTGCTAGAGTGCCAAGTGCGATTTGCCTTCGTCCGAGTTCTCTTCTGTTACTATTGCTCGGTGCCAAGTACGTAGCAAGAGTCCGGTGCCTTGAGTTTGCGGGCTGTTGCCTCTTCTGATGAACGCTACGGGAAATGTCTCATCTGACTTATCGCGGTTTCCAGAAATACTACTCCGAACGGAGTACGTTGCCAGTGTTACTCTGTTGATCTACAGATCACTGTCCGTACTTTTATTACCTGTCCTGTTAACTTACATAGTACTCTTGGCCACTTACAGATTACTGACGTGACTTCTCGACGTCTCCACCGTCCTCGCCATCAGACAGGGCGATATGCCTGATATTGGTAACAGAACAAAAGTTGTAAGCAAGATCAAGTACATGCGCGGCTCAGACTTGCCTTTACGACGTCATTGCCATGGTCGTAAAGAGACGGACACGATTCCCCAAGAACAGAGGGGTTACGCCCTGGGCAAAACACACAACTACTGTTCATGGTCGGGAAAGACGAGTCATCCCCCAAAAGCAACGACAATGGCTCAGAAGTATCTGTTTGTTGTCATCACTGCCGCATCACCGCACGTAAATCCTAGCAAGACTAGGTATGGAGCACCCTGAAAATAGGCAGTCCAGTGAATAGTGTCCAAGAGTCCAACAGTGCTGTACATGTCGTACGCAGACAGATTCTTAAATGTACAGTGAGGCGAGCAAATATCCTGCATCACGGTGATATCAGAGTCGTCCCCTTGACCTTGCCGCTTTGCATCTTGGCTGTTCTAGCACCAAATTGGATCTGTGCACCGCGTTAGGACTTTTTCTGCTCCGTGATCGCCGCATGGGATTTGACGGGCAGGCTAATTTTAGCACCGTGGGGTGTCGTATTCTACAACCAGAAACATTCAAAGACCCAACACTTACAGCACGTTTTTTCTCCCTTGCCACGACGCTCATACCCATCTCTTCAGCTAGCAAGCGCAGCACTCGCTTGCCTGGCTCAAGCATCCCGTGGCGGCTGTCGTCCATGTCATCGTTGGTAAACCCACATTTATGGGAGACAGGGAGCTCGATGGCCCATTTTACAAAAGTTTCGTCAAGGTAGGGGAAGCGCACTTCTCGCTCCCAGGTGGCCATGACCCTGTCGTCTCGTCCGAGGTTTCTTTTCCCCAGACGGCTTACGTCGAGTCTGAGCTCGTCGATAAGGCCAGTGTAGCCGTGGAGGTTGAATGCTGTCTCATGCCGGATGTAGCCGCCAAAGAGTTCGTCTGCGCCCAGGCCAGAGAGGAGCACACGAGCGGTGGTTTCATACGGTTCTGGTTGCGAATCCAGGCTGGTTTGACCGAGTCCGGCGCCCCTTGCGGCAAAGTAAAGCGCGTAGGCGATGGAGAGGTCCATCTCCGTGTTGTGGGGGTGCATTAATTCAATCACTTCGGAACGATGTTCTGTGGCCAGCGAGAATGGCACGTTTACCTGCAACATTGTCAGTGGAAGAGAAGAGCTGAGGGCTAACCTGGGCCACGACAGATCAAGACCTACAATAACTAGACGCCATTTTCGCAGGGGACAAGCAGCGAGGAGTTCCGCAAACGCCTTCCTTCCTGTAATACGATCCGGACACAACTCAAAGAGTTCGTCCTGAGAAGCACCCTTGTTGTGGGCTGCAAGTCTGGGGTTCTCAAAGGCAACATTAAGCAGGTCTATAGGCTGGTCCGGCGGCAAGATGTCACTTGCGAGACGAGCCAGCACGGTGCAATCCAGCCCTCCGGAGAACAGGACCGCAATTCTGGCATCCGTGGATGATGCCTTCGGTGGTGTGGGTACGTCCAACACTCGCAACTGCAGAGATTCGGTTAGAAGCTGACGCAGTTGGGCTACAGCAACGGACTTCTTGGTGAGACGAGAGGATTCCACTGGGATAGAATCGTTGAAGACGCCGATTCCTGATATCTAAACGGACGAGGGGTAAGCAGCCGGAACGGAAGCCGAAGATGCGGTGCTTGCATCATGAATAGACTCACTAGTGAGTTGTCCTCAACCCAGTCGTGTCTGGTGAGAACGAGGTCCTCTAGAGCAGTAGACTGATGGCTGAGTTGCAACGTGTATATCCCGTCTGGTTCGACTTCGCTCCATCCAGATGTCAGAGAGTCAGAAATGCTTGCCAGAAGAAACGGCTCTCCGGGCTGTACCAGCAAGGAACGCCGTCCTAAACGGTCTCGTGCATAGTACAGACGCTTCGCGGGTTTGTCAAAATAAATAAAAGCGAATGGGCCTTCAATCTCACGAACTGCATCAAGCATGCCTTTTCCATCATCCTCCAAGGAGCGGCGGCTGGCCACGCTCAACAAAGACAGAACAGCCTCGCTGTCATTGCCGTGGACTTTCTCCCCCCTAATCTTCCAAGCTTCTCCGTTCCAGCAGAGCACTGAGCCAGTCGTCTCATCCACCAGCGGCTGCTTCGTTATGTGATTCCCCCGTAAACAAAGCACGGTCGACGTGAATGATAGCGATACACCATCATTTGAGCCCAGGTTGGTCGTGACAGTGCCCAGGTAATCAGGGCCACGACAGCGGAGACGACGTTCCAGGGCGGCCGACGGTATGGGACATTGTCCAGCTGTGTAAATGGCGGCATGGATGCCGCACATATTCCAGCCGGCGCCTATCAAAGGTGAGACGCTCTTTGGGGGGACCTTTTCTGTCTCCCTTTGTGGTGCCGGCACGAGGTATTACTACTCGGTAAGATGGATTCGTTTTTCTTGCGGCCAAAGACTGGGCCCTTGTGGCAGCTCAAGTGAGGTTGGTTAGCCAGGGCCCACTTTTACTTTTGGTCCTGGGCAGTTGAGAGGTCACTGGTGCTTACAGGCCCCATAGAAAAGTGACCAGAGGCAGTCGCAGAGGGTTGAAGTAGAAGTTTGTGCATCTTGATTTTCTGACGCTTGCATCAATGCCATGTTGGCCTGGTCAGCGCCGTTCCATGATTTCATGTTTACTCGCCAGTCTCTTCTCCGTATGCAACTCTGATAAACACTTTTCAAGTTTGGCACCAATATGGAATATACCACTCGCGCGACGAAGTACCTGTCACGGCCCCCAACAAAAAACCAACTCCGAGATAAGCAGAGACATAGTATGTAGATAGGTTCGCGTTTACGAATTCGGACATCTCAACGTTCCCTCCGTACGACTCGTATTGCTCTATATCCGATGAAACCCATCAAATGAAAGCACAAATCCAGTAGTCTGACGACATGATTTAACCCTCCACTGCCACACAACGTCACCGCCTACCCTGTTGCTTACCGCCGATCTGAAGCTGACGAGCGGATACCAAAACCGACAAGAGAAACTCAGCTTACATGGTATCTATGACCCAGGGCGCACGAGTGCAGAACAAGCGTCTCATTCCTGTCAGAAACGGAGTTAAAAATGGTTTCTGGGCCGGATCGCAAGGAAGCGAGGTCGACTTATCCTCTTCCCTCAACCGATTCAAAGCGAAGCCTTGTGCCGTAGGGCGTTGACATGCATTCAAGATTTGGAATTTAGAATTGGGAACTCTACAACTGGACTGTTTAGTACATACATGTTTGGTCGTAATCGTCCCCAAATCCCTGCTGTGAAAACACTAGCTGATGAAGAAGGGTGTCGCTATATACGTCATGTTGTTGTCTGTGCATATAAATGGCCTCTGCTCGGCACTGGACTGAAGTTGAGAAACCCATTTACAAGATTATCTAATTCGAACAGAATCCAACTAAAAGAGAGAGAAAACCGTCCAACATGTCGCCGCTTCTCCAAACCTTCAGCCTGTTGGCTGTGGCAAGCCTGGCCTTCATCACCACTGGTAGACCACCCACCTCGCACACCACTCCGAACACCACCACTAACAAAGTCTCCCCCTCCAGCTCAATCATCATCAGCTTCAATGCCAGAGACAGACGCCGCCAAGGATCCCCTGCGTATCATGCCCCTCGGTGCATCCATCACCTACGGCCAAGGCTCCTCCACCGGCAACGGCTACCGCAACGACCTGCACAAACTCCTCACCGACAGCGGCTACACCGTCAACATGGTCGGGTCCCGCAAGCACGGCTCCATGAAGGACAACGACGTCGAGGGCTGGCCGGGCTTCCTCATCGACGAGGTCCAGTCCAAGGCCGAGGCCGCCGTGCCCAGCCGTCTCCCCAACGTCTTCACCGTCAACGCCGGCACCAACGACTGCGGTCGAAATTTCCAACTCGACGGCGCCGGACGCCGAACAGACGACCTGCTCGAGTATCTTTGGAGGGCATCCCCAGACTCCACCATCATCCTGTCCACGCTCCTCATCAACCTCTACCCCGTGGTTGAGGCCCGCGTGGAAAAGGTGAATGCGCAAATCAAGGAGGTTGCCAGGCAAAAGGCCGCCCAGAAGAAGAGAATCGTCCTGGTGGACATGCACGCCGCCGACGGTCCTCAAAAGGCCGACTTGGCGGATGCCACACACCCCAACGATGCGGGCTACAACAAGATGGCCAAGATTTGGTTCCGCGGTATTCAAGAGGCTGCGAGCAAGGGGTTCCTCAAGAATCCCAAGCCTGTTCCGGGCGCGTAATTGGGTGCCGGAGGCCACGAACACGCGTCTTTTACCTTTGATGGAATCATGTCCATCAGAGAAGTCGGAGATGGTGGCGGACGACCAGACGCACTTGGTGTGAATGGAAGCTATGACAAGGCAACGGACCATGTATCGCAATCTTTCGTGATTTAAGCGCCAAATGTTGGTATTTATAATCCAGAAAAACTAGAAATTAAAAGGCTTATTTAGAATTATGAATGGCAATTAGGGAGCATTCTATCACAAAGTCAGTTTGCTTCCATGATCACGGTGGCTGAGGCTATCGCGAGATGGCCTTGGCTAGCGGGCCGCGGCGCTGCACTAATTGCGCTGGTACGTCTAACGCGTCACAATGCGTGTATATACGGTCTATTTTTTTAGTCTTTTATTATTATTAGCCTAGTATAGCCTAAAATTATTTTAAATTCTACGCTTATACTATACTCGTATTATGCTTGTAATTTTATTTGACTACAGAGCGAAATAATGTAAAAGCTAACAGGGTAGTAGATTAAATCCGTAACTTTTTTTTGCCTAATTCTTATTATATGACAATAAGAGCTCCGGTAACCAATCAAATATCCGGTATGGTGTAGTGGCTAACATCGCTCGCTCTCACCGAGCAGCCCAGGGTTCGATTCCCTGTACCGGAGGTTCAAGATCTACCAATCTTTTTGTTGTACAACACGGCCTTTGTTTTTCTTCTTCTTTTTTTTTAATACTTCGGCTTCCAGGCAAAGCATCAAGTTTATTGGCCATGGGCTGTAGTCATCTTCTCTCCTGTCAAGCCAGCTAGTAGTGTTGTTGCCTTTTTCTTTTCTGTTGGGCAGTTAAATTTGTCTGTGATTATGGAGTATGGTGCCCTTATATCAGACATCACCATGATAACAGATTACCAACAGGCACCAGATCGGCATTCTGCACCAAACAATACATATTTTAATACCACCATAGAGAAACCAGGCCAGATAAAAGTAACGCACACGGACTTAACCAAAGGAAAGAAGACGCAATGTCATCCGCCCTTATGTTGGGTAGCTTGCAACCACGGGGATCGTTGAGGTCACCTCTGGCCTACTCCGTACAGACTGGATGCTTCAAAGTGCTCACAATAGTCAAGACACAAACGAGCTCGAGTCACAGAATACACGGTATGGAATCAGTTTCAGGGTGGACAATCTTTCTATATTCCATTCTCGTCGGAAAAGGCGAAATCTATGTCGATAAAAATCCATCCCTATGATCGTCTTCAACATTAATACCCAAGGGAGACGCAACGCTTCAATACAACGGGTCCCGTGAACCTTCATCCTAACGTTTTCAGGTGCCTATCAACAAGCACAAAGTGGCAAACAGTACGACAAGTATCTTGGTACATTACATGAGCGAATGATTTTCGCTATCCCGATTCCATCCCATCTTCATAAAATTCGTAAGTGAAAAAACTGACTTGTGTTCGCAGGAGAGCACAGTGTTGTATTGTGTGAGTGATGGCTGTGAAGCCAACCATGGTCTATATCTCCGGCAGTTAGTTATTCCCGGAAAGGTTGGAGGCCCAAGTTGGTCCAATCCGCTTGGTTAAAGAAGTCAGGCTGCGAGGACTGGGAGAACCCGAGATTTGCGCTGGGAATATCAGCAAACAAGGGCTGCAGGAAGTTGCTGCCCTTGTTAGTGGAAGTGGCAGGAAACAGTTGGAAATCCGAGCCGTCTCCATTGAACACCTCGTCGAAGCCCTCGTCAACCTCGCGGAGTGAGTTCGGGGTGAAGAGCATCGCATTCTCTTGTCCAGAGGGCGAGAAGTGAGGCGGAACCTGCAGCTGCGGAGGCGGGCAGGGTTGAGGAGCCCGGTAAACGGGCAGCTGCTGAGGTAGAATCTTGTTATATAGCTGGTCCAGCACCTGCAACTGCGCAGGAAGCTGCATCGGCGCAGCATAAATATCCTCATCATTGAGGATGAAGGTAGATCCGTTTTGGTATGGAGGGTACTGCTCATAAGAGGTGGCAGAAGATGGAGAGGTGTGCTCCAGTGTCAAGTCCATACCATCTAAAGTTTCCGGCTGGATACCGTATGCAGCCAACCAATCGCCATCCGACTGGTAGGTAGGGAAAGTCATGGCGTCCTGATCCTGGGGAGGAGTAGGGACGCTGTAAGTGGGAGTGCTGGACGGGGTGGACACGCTGCCAAGAGGAGGAGTCTGCTGAACAGAGCTGGCTGGGTTGCTAGAAAGCTTCTTTCCGTTGGTTTTGGTTCGAACGTAGGTCCAGCCGTGTGCCTTCTCCATGTGCTGCTTGCAGTTTGATTCACGCTTCGACTTGTACGGGCAAGGCTTGAATAAGCACTCAAACATGGCAGGCGCATCAGAGTGTTTATCATTGACATGGCGATCCATCTCCTTCTCAGTAGGCCAGCCAAACTCGTGATACTTGCAAGTTGGGATAGGGCATTTCCATGGTCGGGAATGCGTCTTCTCGTGCTTGGTCAGGTCGCAGGGTCGCTTGAACTCCTTATTGCAGCCGGGCTCACGGCACTTCTTGGGGGCCAGCTCCTCAGCTGTGGCATTCTTCTTTCTGCGAGCCATGGAGCGCATGATCTCCTCCTCGTCCTCACGCTGCTCGGAGAGTGAGCGCTTGAATGTGATGGGGGTTTCACCAAGATCTACCGGTTTTCCAGTGGCCATGGAAATGGCGGATCCGTCTTTTCTCACTCGAATAAGTTCAGCGGGGCGGCCATTCTCTGCAATACCCCCGTAAAGTCTGATCTCATCCTCCCTTGGATTGTTGTTAGCAGGATGGTCTAGCGCTACGAAGCACGGTACATACTTGTCCACATCCATATTGTCGCCAGAGCCGCCTTTCTCCCTGGCGTCGGCGAGTTGTTTACCATACTGGTAGATTTGTTCCTTTAAGTCGATGAAGTATCCATTAGTATAAGGGCGGTCTCCTGATCGAACCTGCTCGCGGTCCGTGAGATATTCGACAGTTGCTTGAATGCATCGAATCGAGGTAAGGCAGAAATCGAGATACAGGGCGGGGGACTTGGCCGTCTCCTTTAAAAGCAATTGCCGATAAGTATCACTCCAAACGCCGTCATCAGTTAAAAGTTGACTCACCGGTGCCATAAAGATCAGGGTCTTTTCAAGATCTCGAAGGCAAATAATCTCCTTGGATCGAATTTTTCGAGGTACATCGAGCACGATAGGCTCGAAATCCTTGAGCGTTTGTTTCTGAAGAAGTGGGCCAAGAGTGTGTTCCTGAATGCGGTTGAAGGCTTTCTGGCTTAGAGCGGGGAGAAGCCCTTTGGTAGAAGACGCACCGGAGCCAGTAAGGGCTGATGCTGTCTTCAGTGTCTTGGTGTCCTTCTTGTCAGATGTTTGAGCGGCCTCGCACTTCTCGTTGATAGAGGCAATAGAAGAACCGAGACCGCTGTCGGAAGCTTGCTGCTTTGATCGACGTACTGAGCGAGGGCGCAAGACCCGGCGCTCAGGCTCGGGGTGGGCCATGGCTGGGTCGACAAGAGGAGGGTCGAGGAAGCCGCGAGGAACAGGAAGGCTGGTATCACGGAGGGTCTTGTTCTTGGAGTTGGGCGACAAAGAAAGGTTCTCAGTCTTTGCGAGAGCCTCGTCGATGTCGCTTAGGGTGAGAGCGATGCGTCGACGATTGGCGTCGACGACGTCGTCCAGATGAGTCTGGGACCGGGAGAGTTGAGGTGGAACAAAGGTGTCGTCCAAGTCTGAAGAGACTGGAGAAGTGGGTGAATGAAAGGTGGCACCCTTACGGAGGGTCATAGTTGTTTTTAAGGCCAGGCCACTCTCATTGTCCCTATCAGAACGACTCACCGGAGCCCTTCGACGAGGGTTGGCGAAGGACATGACGAAGGCTGAATAGACGTGGGGTAAACTGATACTGGCACGGTTGTCCTTGAAGGGCTGTGCCGACAACCAGACGGATTAGCTTTTGTGTGTCCCGCAACTGAAGAGAGGCACAGCTGGATGGCAGAAAGGTAATGGCGTCGGTGTGAGTCACAGCCGTTTGTACCAAAAGATGGGAGGTTCGAATTGGAGCCACCAAGGACCTGGTGTCCGTCCCAGCAATGTAGAGAGGAAGGGCACAAAACGGGCAGGGTATATTGAAGTGGAAGAGAACAAATGTCCTTACCCAATACACCCGTCAAAATTGTTCGGCAGCGCTTGTAATAGGACACAAGCGTGATAGCCCGGACGATGGTATTGCACGTGAATAGAAGCACGCGATATGCTGGCGCGGATTGAGGACCCCTGAATATGTCTATGACTCGGAGAAAACACCGCAGGTCGATGATGGAAGAGCCGATGCTCGAGGGATGCTCGAGGGAATGACTGTTATGAACAAGCAGATAGATTGAAAAGGTTGGTAGCTCGGGCGAAGGCACTGGGGCGCAAAACGCATATATGTGCGAGAGGCGGAAGCGGGAGTTGTTCGGATCGGAGGCACAAGGGGGGTAGTCGTTGGAGACGACGGGAAAGAGCCCGCCAAAGGACGAAAACACACGATAATAGCCACCGGATGATGGTGGGCGTCAGACAAAGAGAGACAAGATAGATGAGCGGCTGGAAGAGTCGAGGGACGACAGACGTTGGGACGAGAGAGAGCGTTTTGGTGATGAGGCGCGACGGAGCCAACGGCTTGCTTGCTTAGAAACGCACTGGGGCATTTGGCCAAATGCCAGGCGTCCTCAGCCCGGAGACGCTGCTGCCTAGAGTTCTGACCTAAACAGGACTAGCGGCTTCCGCAGACTGGTGGGTGGCCCAGGCGGGCTGTGTGGAGGAGGGTAATCCCTGTCAGCAGGGTCGCGATTGATAGGCCAGAAGATGGGGCGGTACTTTGCAGGGTAACGCGGCGGAACAAACAGAGAGCCGAGAGGGTGGGCGACCCGAGCCAAATTTGCTGGCGCAGAGCCGCATCCTCACACAACCCGCCAGGGCATGGGCTGACCTCGACGTCTCTCGTCAGATAGTGACCAAAGTATCGGCGCTATGACAAGTGAACCTGGTCACCCAAGACGTGACCCTTCCACAGTCCGCCACGGAACCATTGGAGCCAAGCTGGGCCCCCTTGGCCCCGTTCCGTTCCACCATTCTGTCAATCCCCAAGTCGCATGCTTGAGCACCAAGACGACCTTGTCATTTGCCCTTGCCCGCCAGAAGGCAGCCAAATTCCGCATCGCATCAAGAGAGCCAGACAAGATAAAACAAAGACCAAAACATCCACACCGAATTGTCCCAAATGACGACGGGCATTGCGTCTGCATACCACCTCCCCAAGTTCCACTTCCCAAAGAACCGCTAGCATGCCTGGGTGCGTCGGACGGCGGGACGGGAGCAATTGGGACCTTTGCAAGACGACCGACTCCAACAAGCGGACTGTTGGTCGGGATGATGACGAATTGCTTCCACGTTGGCTTTCCACCGTGTCCGGCATGACCCTTCCGTCGCCGTAAGCCTGTCGCAATGCCTTACACGCAACATGCGAAGGGGGGTGGGTTGCCCCGAATGCCGGTTCGCTGATTGTCGGAATCATTGGGTCTACCAGCGCGTCCCCGTCTACGTCTACGGCTTGAGGACATAGACATACATACATACATACAATAGTGACACAGTCTGTCCCTCAGGTCTCTCGGTCTCAGCCTGCAGGTCTCGCGCTTTTGGACAAGTCCCTGACGAGGACTCGGCTGTTGGACCCGTGTTGATCGTGGCAGGACATCCCTTTCTGTGGATGCTTGAACGATGCTTGAACTGGCCATCCTGGTGCTCAGCAGACATATTGTACGTACATGCAATATTGTTACGGAGCACGTTCAATGTCCTATCCTATCCCAGCACGTCACGATTGATGAAACTACGAAGTGCTGCAGCAGGAACTCTCCAACTGCGCCCCCTGGCGGCTGAAAGACGGGGATCGATATCCTTTGATGCTTATTAGCTGTTCAGCCACGACATGGCTGCCAGCATCGAAGTTCTTTGACGTTTGCTCTGGATATAGGACAGCGCTGTGACCAATCCCTCGTCAAGGTAGTACTCAAGTGCTCGCAGCCTTTTGTCAAGGACTTTGGAGTACAGCAGCAATCCATATGGCTTCAATAACAACGTTGGCCCCGAACCCTGTCCGTTTTGGCCATTTGACCTGTTGATTGCGTTGCCAACTCTCCCTGGCTCTCGAGTTCTCGAGTCCCGGCTAATAATACCTACATGTGGTGGCGTCTGGAGAGCCACCGAGCACCATCTGTGACATTTGCTGCAGCTATTGTCAGGCCAGACTGGCTTATTCCACTTTTCTGTGCATTGTCGCAATCGCCAACCTGCATCCAACCAGGAGGACAATTGATCTGCCCCAGGCAAGGTCTGATGCCGGGTGTCTCCTCCACCATCGTAGGGCTGCCCAGTCAGGATCTATCAAGCACTCAAGGGCCACTCGGTCGCCAGTTGAAAGCCAGTCAACCAGTCGAGAGGAATGGCGCCGAGACACCTGAGTCACACTCTATCCGCTTTGCTGTCTTTGATGCGGTGCATTCGTGTCCGGCGGTTTCCTCTTTCGGCCGTGTAACAACCAACGGACTCGTCTTGATTCCGCGGATCACATCCGCCGCCATCAAGGGTTGCATGAATTCTTTTTTTTATTTCTCTTCTGGACACGTATTGGTTTTCACAGGTTTGTTGGCAGCGCGAGCCCAAGTGGCATTTATTGCGGCCAATTGCGTTGCGTTTAATCGAGCAGCCTACGTCTGGGGTCGTGGAACCCCATGAAGATCCGATACTACTAATAGCTCAAGGCATCAGTATTTCACTTGTTGACTTCAGGTCGACAAGCTGTCTTCGCCAAGGAACGGTTTTGTCCTACTCCAGTGTGTGGAACCAGCCACTCACTGCTGGGGCCGTGTATGTTTTATTCCGCTGCCTTGCATACAGGGCATTGCGTCACGAGACAGCGGCCGAGAGTGGCTCTGCGATCGATGGCCTCCTAACACGATCCGGTTTCCTCAGGCTCCGGGGTGAGGAGGTGATGCCTGAGCCGTTAGAGTTAAGGCAGTGATATTCTTACTGGACTGCCAGCTCTATGCTTCCCCTGTGCTTCGTTAAGTGTTGAATCCCTCCGCTGGGCAAGGGCATGGGCATTCATTACACCGGGCTCTATTCTACATAGCAAGAAACTGCCAAGATTCTGTGGTGATTGTGTCCAGCACTCTACTCTACGATTCTCAGCCGGCCCTGCATGTCGGACGGACAAAGCGGATATGCAGAACCGATCCGAAGCCCACGCCAACGCCGTCGCCATACGAGTCACCGGCACTTTATGGCAGACTAAACAGCGCCTGAATACCTCTTAGACGCCATTGTAACCACCCCAGTATTTTGTAGAACCACCCCGAGCTCACAGCAATGACTTGCATGGGCGCCCGTTGCCTTGCTCCAAACAAAGCGCAGACCAACAATGACGCCCAGACACTTCTCACAGTTTGAACAAGCCCAAAAGTCTTATCAAACCCGCGCAAAAGACTACGACAGCTCATGGCACCCACAATACACGGCCCGGTTCATGGAGCTCATTGACATTCAGCCCGGCGACCGTGTGTTAGTCCTCGCCTGCGGCACCGGCCTCGAAGCTGTCATTGCGTGCCCGCTAGTCGGCGACAATGGCCTGGTGACAGCCTTGGACGCATCCGCAGCAATGATGGACGTGTGTCGCAAGAAGCAGGCGACCGATGAGATTCTATCCCGCCGCCTGGTTCTCATCCAGCATGATGTCACGGATCTTGAGTCCTGCGAGCATCTCGAAAAGGGCTCGTATGATGTTATCATTTGCTCCAATGCGTTTGTATTATTCGACGACCCCGGCCGTGTCGTTTCCCAATGGGCTGGGTATCTACGTCGCGGGGGCCGACTCATTGTTGACATTCCCCATGAGAATCACCCCCGGCAGGGACTCTTTATGAAAAAAGCCATCCAGCAGATGGGCATGACGTACCCTGCGAGCCGGTCTTGGATCGAATCGGTCGACTCGTTTCGTGGGATCCTCGAGGCACGACAGCTGCACGTCTTTCGGGTTGAGGCGCTGGATAAAGAACCTGGCAAGGGACATGTTTTTCTTGGAAGGGAGGAGATTGGCAGCATGTTCGATTACATTACACAGGACCATTTGATGCAGTGCCTGGCCGATGAACAGTTTAGGAGCAAAGCAAGGTTATTGTTCGAGAGGGAGTGGGATTCAGCGACGGAGAGGGAGGGCAATGGGAAGGTGAAGGTTAGTTATGTTCTTTATGTGTACGTCGCCGAGAAGGTGTAGGGATGCAGGCAGTGAGACGTCATCTGCCAGTGCGTATATGTGTGAAATGCAGTGCGTCGGTGTTCTGCTGTAGTTTTTTACTTTGAATTCATCGGTGCCGCAAGTCCTGGCGTTTTGCGCGACCACATGACTATCAATGAGCTTATGAGCTTATTATCATTATGAATTTTGACAAAATTCAGAGTTGTCATGCAGGAAACCCACCAATGAAGCAAGCTAGGACTCCTTTCTTGAAATGAAGTCGTCATGAACAAGGCCACAGCCATGACAAGCCACCACATATCATCGTCTACACAACCCTCGAACACGTTCGTCCAGAGGAGCCATGAAAATCCATATCACTAGTGAAGATTGATTGTTCAGTTTCATGAAAAACATATATAATGCCCATGATGCCTCGCAGTCACTCCCAGCAACCCAGAGCAATCAACCACCTCCTTGACGAAACATGGCTTTCCAAAACGCTCAAGAGCCCACGGAAGAGCCGTGGGGACCAAACATCACCGAAGAAGAAATCGACGACGAAGCAGCCAGAGGAGGGGTGGATCTCGACGCAACTGAAGAAGAAGTTGACGACAACGCAAATAAAAAAGGAGGCGAAGTAGTCAGACAATACCTTCGATCCCCGGTTAATCCTGTTGTACGCGAACATCTGCGGCGTACAATTTATGGTGCGGAGAAGGAGAACGAGAAGAAGAAGAAGAAGAAGGAGGAGATGTACTGTCTGAAGGACCTCAAACTTAAAGACTGGCTACATCAAAACGCCAATTCATTTCCTGCCCGTTCCAGCGAGGACACGCTGGCATTCATCCGCAAAAAGCTGTCCTTGCCTTCTGAAACGTCCGCCGACGAGATTGAGTACCGATTCTACAAGACTCCCTTGCTTTTGCGCGCTGTGCTGCATCCAGTGGACTGTTATGCGACTCAGAAGAAACAATACGACGAGAGTGATGCGGCATTAGAGCTTGCGTATAGCGTGTGGAAATTCCCCTGGAAAAAGATGAAGAATTGGTTCAATACTGCTGCTCAGTGAGCCCATGTGTTTCAGTCATTATGGGACCTGAAGGCAGCAAGGCTTGAGGAGGAACCGCCAGAACATGTTGTTGAAGAAGGGTGAACTTGGCGATGGTTTGGATTGGAGGTCATTGGATACTCGGGGCCAGATTTGGTATTGGTAACTGACATGTTGCCATGACTGTCAGCTGGATACAGGGATATGGATATGTTTTGGGGAAGAATGGATACCCAAATATGAATTTGGAGGAATCGATACTTACTCGGGAGGTGAAGACGCAACCGCGAGCTGCTTTTTCCGTCTTCGCAGCGGGAAAAACTCCGGATTGGCGTTGAATCCAGCTGGTGCTTGAGCGACGGAATAATATATGTATCTTGATCTGCGCATTCATTGATCTTTTATACAATTCATCCGTGTTTTTTTTTGCCGAAGCCCATCATCAAAGATGACATTGATAATTTTGATCGTCCCTAGCCTGTCATACATGCGCCCATCCATTATGGGCTAGAACCTGCATCTCATTAATTAAACAAAACACGCCGGGCTCACGATTCCCACTCTTTTCCTTTTCCCAATGCCTAACCCTTGATCGTACAACTATCCCTTCGAATGTAATTGATGTCCAGCGTTTCAACCTGTTTTTCCAAAGCCCTATGAATATCCCCCACGCGGATACCCACGATCCGGCTGGGTGTGTAGCAACGTATGCCTCGGGATTATAGCCAACTCTCACTCTGGGGTTGAGATAGACGCCGAGTGTTCTGGAGAGAGGATTGTCGGCGTGTATGAGGCAACATTCGGAGCCTTCTAGGTGATGATTCGCCAGGGAGTCGGGGACGCCACGGAAGCGTAGCTTGGTTGAGGAGACGAACGGCTCGGCGGGCATAACGACTGCAAAGGAGTGTTAGCTTTCATGAATCTCGGCAGAATCCCCCCCTTGTGGTCCGAAAAGACAGGTGTTGAGACGCACCAATGCCATTCCAACAGCTAGTGACAGGCACGGCGTCCAAATTGCTTACGAGGGCGTTTCTCGATGTCCTCGCTTTAAAATACGGCCAGGTCTGCATCACATGTCCGTGGCCCTCGATATCCCGAAGCGCAAAGGTATCATAGTACAAGGGAGGTTTCGCAAAATCCAACGAGCAAGCTGCCGCATATTCACCGCCATTCGTGTCCATCAATGCCAGCACATCCTCTACCTGGCAACAATGGAAAAGTCAGTCATGGTGCATTTCCCAAACGTGCTCGGGGTCACAATCTTCACATCTTACCGTGAATACCACATCGTTGAGAAACAGCACCTTGTCAAACTCAACACCCTGCTCATGAAGATGCAGCAGATCCTTGATTGTCTTATTCCTCAACCTCGACAGGTACGGGATGCGGCGCAACTCCTTCTTGTTTCTCGGCGTATCGATCCAGCCCTCTCCCTTGTCCGCACTGTCCAACTCGTCCTGATGGGTCACATCAGACACCTCCACGCGGTGCGGAACACCTCTTATTTCTAGATGTCGATCCAGCTCACGCAGAACCTCCTTGCTGTCGTCCCAACTGCCGCTCTCGAATATACTGACAAACACATTCTTGGGACCAAACGTCTCTGTCAACCCAATGACGGCGTCGTTCCAGTGGCTCTTCAGGATGGCACCGTTGTTGAAGTGCATGCTAGCAATATAGATTCGCTCGTGCGGCCGCGACGGCCCAGGGGGTTTGGGGCGACGTTGCACATCGCCGTGACTGAGATTGTGATGAATACGGAGCACGTCGATAAAGTTGAAGAGCAGGAATAGGCATACTGCTACTCGGGTAACACGTAGGCGGAGGATGCGGCGCATGTACAGGCGGTTAGCTGGGGTGAGAACCATGATTGCTCTCCCAGTGTAGCTGCGTGGTGGATTGGGGAAGCACCATGACCTCTCCGACCGCTCGCTGATGACGTTAGGAGATGGAATCCTCAATGATCATGGCGCAGAGACTACAAGCCTCAGTTGAGGTCCGGCAATGGGGTTTGGGAGGTTGCGGCAAAGTGTGCGTGTATAATGAATCTGATTGCTTTGAGGTTAGGTTACACTCGAGACGTCCAGCTTGCATGTGTCCAGATGTCGCGCAGGGGTGACCAGTGCAGGAACTTGACGTTTTCGAAACGCCCCCAGACGGCATGGTCAGCCCCAGCCGCCAGCCCGCTTGCCCGGTACCCGAGGTACATGTAGGGACATGGGTCAACCAGTAATGTCAATGGAGTCTGGTGGTTCCTTGCCGTTGGGAACTTGGGACCCAGAATACAAGAATGAGACAACACATCAACTTCTCAATACATAGCATGTGCGGCTCTTCGCAGACTGTGTATTTGCTTTGATGAGTTGGATTATACGTGGACATCTTTAATCAATTGTTAATTTTACAACTGCCGAGTACCGACCTTGTGCCGACTTCCAGCACCCAGTAAATTCCTTTCCTTACACCATTTATTTTGTAGCCACTATTTCCACTCACATTCATTACCCCCCGACAAACACATGCACAGGCACACGATTCCCTTCTCGCTGCAATTCCCTATTGGAATCTACCATCATCCGCACTTATTTCGCAAAGTGCAAGTCGTAGCCCAGCCACTTCCTTCGGACAACCTGCTCAACGGACAAACCGGGGTAACCATATGTCAATGGGAGGAAGAACCACCAGCCAGCAATGACAATGGTCAGCACCACGCCACAGGCAATCCAAGCTCCCATCATGCTCTGGCCAGCTAGTCTCTCGCGCGCCGTAAGGTGCTTCTTGGGGCTCTTCCTGGGGCCTCTGGTCTCGTCAACTGGTTCTGCACTGAAAACAAACTCGATGAGCGCACCGGCGACTAGGCAGGAGGCAAGATGAGCAGGTAAATAGTGGTGTAGGAAAAGCTGCCGGCCCATTACAAAGAACGGAAAGTAATGGGTGGCCCATGCAACCCAGAAGAAGCCAGTAGAATTGTACAAGCGGGAACGCGTACCTGATGTCCACGTTAGTATCTTGCGCCCTAACCATTGCGCCATTGAGGAACGAAAATTACTTACGGTGGTCCAATGCATCGATGCCTCGGCGCAGAGAGATCTGATCAGCGAGAACAATCCCAATGTAGACAGCCAACAAGCTGCTGGCAAGCCACCAGCCGATTGGGTTCCCAAGAAAATAGATCTGCTGGCGGGTGTCGTTCTGTGTCCAGAAACTGACGCCGCGCAACAGGAATGGCCACTGATAAGGATGGCTGGCGTAAGGGTGACTGCTGGTCAGCTTGCTGTTGTGGTAAAACATGGCTCGCTGAAGCTCAAACCACTTGCGCAGGAACGGCAAAGTCTTGACTTTGCGCTCCGGCTTCTCTCGTCGGGCATCGTCGGCAGCCAGAGACGCAATATTATCAACCAACCAGATGTTAGAGCTGGGGGCGATCTGCTTATTGCCGTTGATTTCCTGCTGGTGGGAACCCCATTCAGGCAGAGGCTTGGTGTGAGTCCACATGGCAACTTTGCTGGGGAAGTGAATGAGTTTGAAGTAGCTGGCAATCGTCTTGAACTCCTGGCCGTTCTTGCCGTTCTCAATCCGAATCTCAAACAAGGTGTCGTTGACGCGACTGCCGTAGGCATCATCCTGAGAAACAGTGGTGAACTCTTGGTTGGTAGGATAGTAGGGGGAAGCTACGTCGTGTGACAGGAGAACCGTGTCCGTGCCAACGTGTCTCAATCGAATCAATTCATTGTTCTTGACCTTGCGACCCATTTGCTTGTCGTCGCTAGAGGGGAGAATCTGCCAATAGTTGTTGGTATCATTGTGAGGGTAGCCGGTAACCTGCTGACCCTGGCTGGAAACACGGCCATCGTCGTAACGCAAGGGATACTGGTGGGGATGGCTGTGCAGGAACGCCTTGGTCTCCTTATGTTTGATCGTGATGGTGTCGTAGTATTGAATATCGACCGCATTCGCCAACATGGCATTGTCACTCAATGTTTCCTGAAATTCGGGCGACATGAAATCATCCCCGGGGCCGGAGCGAGACAATACGGCAAAGTGGACCTGGAACCAGAACAAATAAAACAGGAATGGAAGAATAATGAGGCCGACAGCACGAGCAGCAAAGTGCCTTCCAAACTGAGGAAGGCTGATGGCGCCTCCCGGGCGCTTGATGTCCAGCAGATCCCAGAGATCAATGATAACCGCGGCACCAATGGTGACGAAGGCGAAGGTACCGACATACTTGGTGGACATGTCGCAAGACAGGGCAAAGCCGGTCAGGATGAGCCATTTCCACCACTTGCGACTGAACGGCTCGTGACGAAGCTTGTAAAACTTGATGTAGAAGAGCAGACTGCATGCCATAGCCAGGACCAAAGTAGCATCAAGAAGAATCAGTCGAGTCTGGCCAATGTGGGCGTTGTCAAATAGAACCAGACCAGCGGCAATGAGGCAAGCAGGAACGCTATAACCCGACTCCCACATAATGAGATACGTAACAGACACAGTCAAGGCGCCCAAGATGGCAGGGAGAGCTCGGAATGCCACATAAGGCACTTTGTTGTCAATGTAGGAATCACCAATGTTTTCGAAATGGAAGTGACCATCGTAGCCCACCAGCCAGCCCATGAAGGCAAACAGAAGCTTGGCAAAGGGAGGATGCACATCGAAGAAGTAGGTTCGTTCGAGGTAGTATGAGGCGAACTGCGTTGCGATGGATCAGCAAAGAAAGAGGAAGTGCGATTGATGACTCTTTCGGTCGTTGTAAGCACCCACCTTGCCAAAGTGAACTTCGTCAAACACCACCTCATTGGGGTGGCTAATTCCCCAGAATCTGGTGACAAAAGCCAGAATGGTGGTCAAGGAGAAGGCAGCCCAGTGATCGCGCTCGCAATTGGATGCATTCTTCTTAATTGAGGCTTTGGCAAGCTTGTCGAGCTCTACGTCAACGGCGGAGGTGCTCGAGTCGGCCTTTTTGGAGCCAACGTTTCTCTGCCGCAGGCTGCCTTGCGGTGTTTGGCTACGGGCCATGATTCTATCGTCCAAGATTTTGCGCGGTCAGCGGCCAGACGTAATGAATGAGTAGACGGGATGCAAGGGGGGTGCGGTGCGATTATTTTTCTCGTCATTTGCGATCGCGTTGGGATTCAGGGACTGGCGACTCACAAAACGGCGGGGAGGCTTGATGCCCAAGGTGCAGAAGAAGAAAAGGTATTAGATACAAAAAGGAAAAGGACAAGGAGAAAGGGACTGAAAGAACAGAACCGCCAAATCAAGACACGCAAGTATGTGTGTTGAAGGCTTGAGTTGGAGATGCAAAGGGTTGGCCTCCCTCCTTGCCAAGAAACGAATGATGAAGCTGGAGCCAGGAGACAAAACCTTCGACACAACGTGTCAATGTGGTCAAGTCCAGCAGCTCTATGTTTGCGGACCGGGGCAGGGCAGGCAGACGATTGGCTCAGACGGCACCAGTTCGGCCCACAATCCAGGAACTGTCTCCTGTTCAGCCCTTGCTTGATGGATCAGTTATCTTTGGAACACCCTGTCCAAATATCTGGGCCTAGGCTATCGATGAGATTTACGAGGGAACTAAACGCTAATGATGGTATTTGTCTTTGCCCCTGCATATTGCAGCTCCCGTTTCTCTCGGGGTGGGAGACACGTTTTGGCCAAGTCGGTTTACGGCATTCCAAGTCGAGTCTAAGGTAAGTTTGTCCAACATTGGAAAGATGCAACCATTGAATACATTCAAGTATATGTGGAATTGGTACTTGGGGATATTAAGAAACAGTTATTCGCCTCAACGCTGAAAAAAAAAGCCCCTCTAGTCCCTTTCTCTAGGGAGGGACCGTCCATGCTAAGTGTCAACGGTTGCAGCAGCCGAGCCAGTTGTTGTACTCTGATCTTGAATGCTTGGGTGCCCCAGATCAGAAGCTTTATGATAATTGATCTTTTAAAAATGATGCCATCTGGAAAATATTTCTGCTAGTGTTTTCACCCATCTAGACACCCTGATAGCCATGAACGGCATTCGCCATCCAGAGCCCATCCCCATCCCCCATGCCACATTCCACACCACACTCACACTCAGCACCAAACACTCTCCGACTCTCCGGTGCGCTCCGAACAAATCGACAAGACCGCCGTCCTGGGCCTCCTGGCCATCTCCCCGTCCACCCTGGGGACCACGTACATTGTACGTAACAAATTACCCAGGTGCACGTCCAGGCTGGGCCGCGATGCGCACATGTGGACCATCCGCCACACCAATTGATTAGCTAGGCCGCCAAAACCCGCCAGCTTTGCTGCCCCGCCGCGGGGTGAAGGACGCCGGATGCCGGAGACATGGACACCAGGAGCTCCCAGATGTCCTCCGTCCGCTCGAGATAGAAGTTAGTCGAGTTGTCCTATTTCCTATTTGTAAACCCTCATTCCCCGTCCCCCATCGCGCGCCTTTTTCACTTTCAAAACACACTTTCTGTAGGATACATCAGCCCCTGTCAAAAGAGAAACCACCCTTACTTACGCGCAACGGCTCTCGTTCTTCTGCATAGGTATGTCGTCGATCGTTGCTCGGCTTGCCCCGCGATCCTCCATTGGGAGCATCACCACATCTGCTCGACGAGCGGCAGTAGCAGGATCAAAGTTCACACCAATCCCAGTTCTTCTTCGTGCCAAATCAACAATGGCGGACCAACAGATTGTTTTCACCAAGGACGCCCCTTTCCGTAAGTATTCCAGAGAGCTGTGTGCTCTGTCCCTCCTCCGATTCGGCTCCGATTGTACTGATAAGCTGTTACGAAATTAGCTGTCGGCCCTTACGTGAGTCCTGGCCCGTTAATGGGAGACGGGGGAAACAAAAAAAATGCACCCCGCGCTTGCGCGAATACTAACGAAGCTTTCCCCATGTAGTCCCAGGCCATCAAGACCCCCTCGGCCATCTACTGCTCCGGCCAGATTCCCCTCACTGCTGAGGGCACCTTGGTTGAGGGCTCCATCGCCGACAAGACCAAGCAGTGCTGCCAGAACCTCGAGGCCGTCCTGAAGGAGGCTGGTTCTTCCATCGCCAGGGTTGTCAAGTGCAACATCTTCATCTCTGATATGGCCCATTTCGCCGTACGTACCTCATTTCTACCTACCTGGTCTACTTGGCTGTGATTTAGAGCTGACCCTTCACAATAGGAGATGAACTCTGTCTACGAGAAATGGTTCGCACACAAGCCTGCTCGCAGCTGCGTCGCCGTCAAGACCCTCCCCAAGAACGTTGATGTCGAGATTGAGGCCATCGCCCTCCCTTAAGCGTGCGTTGAGGTAGATAGCATGTAGCTAGGTCCGGCCAGAGCAAATCAAAACTGTAAAAGTATATCAACCTGGTCCATAGTATAAATGTTTCATCATCAATAGTCGTGACAAGCATTGGGGTCCAATTGCCTTGATATCGTGTGTTTGCGTTGCATAGTTCTCTACAGCTAACGAGACATGGGCCAATGACTGTCAATTCTTATTTACAAGGCATAGTCTAGCTCTTATATGCATTTATTTTTAAGCATTCCAAATCACGACACGCCCATCGACACCGCTTGCTGTAATAATTGTTAGCTATTTAGATATAGTGAATGATGGAAGGAGGCACGTCACATGCGATGGGATATACGTACAACTAAACTTGGTGACTCGGCCACCAGAGGACTCAAACGGACGGAGGGTAGTAACCGTATTCTGGTGAATGGTTTTCAGTTGCGTGTCATCCTTGATTTTGCCCTTGAGGTCCATCTGTCTGAACATGTTGAGAGCAGACTCTTCACGCTGAGCTCCGGCATCGCGGCCCTTGGGCTCAACGGGACCCGCAAGCTGCCAGCCTGATTCACCACCCTTGAAGCGGAAAGCCTCGCAGTCGTAACCGGCTGCGATTATTTCATCTTCGCTCTTCCAGATCAAACTCTTGAATGGCAAAAGCTGTGTCGAGACGGTGAGAACGGCGCGGGGCGGCTGTTCAGGGCCAGAGGGATAGACAACGGTAACACTACTGTCGTGAGCGGCATAAGCAAGGCTGTCGCCGCTTGGGGAGAATGCAACAGAGTGAACCCAACCAGCAGAGTTGTTCAAGAACTCTCCGCAGACGGTGTTGAAAGGAAGTCTCTCACCCCAAACACTGGGTTCAGGCTTGGCGTCGACCCCTTTGATAAAGCTAGAGAAGACCCTGGCATGGGCATCGGTTGAACCGGCGGCAAGGAGTACTGAGTTTGGGTGCCATGCAACACTCGTTATGGTGCTGCGAATGGGCTTCTTTAGGTGCTTGGATACCCACCAGTCATTCTCCTCTTCGAAGTAGCAGATGGCGATGACCCGGTCACCGGACCCAACGGCGAACTTGGTTTCAGACGGGGACCATCGAACGAAGGTGGCGGCTCGACTGATTCGGAGAAGGACGAGAGTAGGTTTGTACCCCGTGGGAGACGGCTCCCAAACCAAGGCGTTCCGGTCTATCCTCTGTTAGCTGGAAATACATATGTGAGATGCCAGGTAGAGTTCTTACCCTGAGAGCAGGTAACAATGCGACCGCTATGAGGAGCAATGTCCACACTAGTGACAGTCTTATCGTGGCCTTTCAGCTCATCCTTGAGCTTAAATGCGTTTCCCACTCTGCCGTACAGCTCGACATACGAGTCTCGGGCCACAGCCAGAGTGCCATGGTCAGCCGAGAACGAGTGGTCCGCGATGGGGTTATGGAACAAGTGATGAACCTCGGGATCCGCCATACTGATGAGTTGTCTTTGGCGATAGGAGTAGCTCTCTACTACCGCAGGTCAAGGAAATCTAGTTGTAAAAGTAAACGTTGATGAACTTGGCGACGATGATGGCGGGGTGAACCTCTGAGTCTGCGAGTACGTCTTACGTATGGTGAGGGTACGTACCCACTAGGTGGAGCTCGGACCACCCATAGCTGATCGCAGACCACCGCAACATCGCGAGGCACGAAAACTTACGTTTTTCAGCATTATTTCTTGCACCTGCGACCGCCGCGAACGACCAGATCCCACCTATTGAGTCACCTCCCACGAGAATATATGTAGAATCATTGTGCACGCATATTTTTATCAGAGTACCGCAGCAATTGAGTCGCCATGGCTACAGCCGTCCCTACTCGGGGTTTGGTGCCGAACGCTTCCCTGCCTGCCAAAGTTCAGCCCATCCCGCCCAACCAGACGTGAGTGCATACGGTCGTTGCACCCCTCAAGCCTCCATCTGACCCTTTTAGGCTATATGTAACAAATCTTCCGTCTTCAAAAATCCAAAAAGCCGATCTTCGAACTGCCCTTTACCTTCTCTTTTCGACGTACGGGCCAGTTCTAGATGTCGTTGCTCTGAAAACGATGTCCATGCGAGGGCAAGCACATATTGTCTACCGGGATGTACAAACAGCTACTCAAGCTATGAGGTCCTTGGAGGGTCAAGAATTCTTGGGCCGGCAGCTTGTGAGTGCCATTTAAATTCCTTTGAGAACCTGGACACTGACAGGAGAGTCCAAATCCTAGAAAATCCAATATGCCAAGTCGAAGTCGCACTTTGTTTCCAAATTGGATGGAACTTTCAAGATGCCCAGTGCATCGGGAGCCGCAGTGGTCGAACAAACACAACTTCAGCAAAGCATTTTCAACGCGCCACCACCGGGATCCGTTGCTCCTGCGAAACCACCTGCTGCTGTTGACCAGGTCATGAACGACGCTGGTACGCCAGAAAGTCGCGGCAAAAAGCGAGGACGAGAAGACGAGGATGAAGGCGAGGATAGCGAAAGTGACGTGGCAATGGAGGAGGACAGTGACGACGAATGAGCTTCAGGTGCCTGAGACGAACAATATTGTAAGCCGACAACACAGTGTCCCGCTCAAGACACACCGACGTTTCATTGAATAGCCATTTCTTTGGGTATCCACAGGCCTACACATCCTCCAACCAAGCCGAGCCAAACCATCAAGTAGTTCTGTCTGGAGCACTTGAAGCTGGATATGGCATCTCCAAGCAAGCATGGATGAACAAAGAAGGCGGGGACTCCTGTAACAGGGTGGTGCTATAGCGAACAACATGTATGAGTTTAATGAGTCCAATCAAAGACTTGAAGTATTCGAAAAACTCACATCTGCGGAGATGCCACCAATTCCACCAAGCCCTCGGAGGCCCTCTTTGTACTCATCGGGGACGAGACGACGAAATATGGTGTCAATATTGAAGGCAGGCTCATGTGGGGGAAGGCCGTGGAGACTAAACCAAAGGCATGGAACCCTATATGTGGGATGACGATGAATTTCATAAGTCACGGTCTCTGTGGCTTGAGATGTTGGTTTGACGATGGCGGCCTAGCATGATCGTGAGCATATGATATTGCAGCTACATACCAATAGTAACAACGACATACCTCGTCCGATTCATCGTCAATCATTTTATCGTCTGCTGTCGGAATGTCATGGGTTGTGGGAGAAGGAGATATTGTAAAGCTGTCCAGATTCAAATCCAGGTCGCCCGGTATTTCTAGTGGACGAACAATTTGAATATATGTAGTATATCCCCCTTCGGTGGAAAAAGCCAGGTCGAGAGCTGTGCACACTTTGAGCTTCCATCGCTTTCTCAGCGGACCCAAGGTTGCACGGCAGTATTGACTGTCAAGATGATGACAAGCTTCTGCAAATTCCTCTGGATTGATAAATGGGTAGTTTTCAATATCCATGTCTGTGTCTGTGAGAGGAAGGGCGGCTCGATTGCCTCCGTTATCACGAACGAGGGCTAACTTTGGATAGTCGAGTATTAGGGCAAGAACAGTCCTGTGCCTTGAGAAGGAACACTCCGTAGCACACGTCTAGCAAATACCTGTCAGCTAGGCTTCCTTGGGTCTTCCTGGTCCCTTTCCTATGGCTTGTAAGTTACTAAATTAAATACATGGCTGCATTTTAAATGCCATGAGAGTGAAGAGCAAATAAGTCGGGGAGATTGGATTTGTTCACAAGTACTAAATCTGATGCCACCAGGACACCAATATCGGGGTTTGCAGAGGGGCGACCTCGGGAGAAAAGTGGCCCACATGCAACCACCAACTAACGAGAAATGGTCCAGGGGTCTGGTCAGGTCACCACTCGACACTCTCTGTCCTTTTCTAGGGGTCCCCCCTGCTGGTTGGGTCGCCCCGTCGTCGACTCGTCGCCCATCAACTTGCATTTCGTCGTTCAGCACGATTAAATTGCAACGTGTCGCCATTGTGAAGGACAATATACTCCCGCATCGTCGAACCGGGCTGTTGTCGACAGCACAAATAGCACTAGCTTTGGCTCTAGCGCTTGCTTGCGGTCCAGATTCTCACAGCGATTGCGTGGCTTCCTCCGCGCTGCACGAGATGAGCCAGCCGGCCCAATGATCCGCGATCCATTTAACATCCACCGCAAGAACGCCTTCAAAGCCACAGCCTTCCAGACAGTCCAACACATCACAACAACAGCAGCGCATGTCGGCGCTGCGGCCCTCGACATGTCCTTCCATATCCCAAAGAATGTTCCCAACTTTGGAGCGCCGCATCGAGACCTAGAGGACAGAGCCTGGGTAGCGCTATCTCGAGGCAACGGGGATGCGTCGCATGGTTTTATAAACGGCGTCCAGAGGAAGGTGTCACATTACTTCGAGGACGATTCGTTGCCAATGTATAAAGATAAGCCGTACGGGCACGGGAGGAAGCGATGGTGGCGAAGAAAACGAGTACTAAGCACAATTGCGCTTGCTTCGTTGACGTTTCTCTGGTTGACTGGATTCTTTCGCGGCAATGACGAGAAGCGGTCCTCGACGTCGACATCTACATGGACATGGTTGGGAATGTCCAGGATCAACAAGGCTGCTAATTGGGACGCAAGACGGCAGAGTGTTGTCGAAGCGTTCGAGTTAAGCTGGGATACGTATTCGCGCTATGCTTGGGGTACAATTCTACTGGTTCCCTTTGATTTTTCGTCTATGCGCTGCTGTGTTGGCTAACTGCAATTTGTTCTGCTTCAGGCTACGACGAGTATCACCCGATTTCGAAAACTGGGAAGAATATGGCCTCCAAAGGATTGGGTTGGATTATAGTTGATTCACTGGACACGATGATGTTGATGAACTTGACATCCCGAGTAGAACATGCTCGCGAATGGCTGTCGAATTCATTGACTTGGGACCAAGACCAGGATGTTAATACGTTTGAAACTACGATTCGCATGCTCGGCGGTCTCTTATCCGCTCACTATATTTCCAACGAATACCCTAATCTGGCACCTGTGAAGGATGACGACCACGGGAAGCCGGGCGAGGATCTCTACTTGGAAAAAGCCAAAGATTTGGCCGACCGACTGATGGCTGCATTCGAATCCGAATCTGGTGTTCCTTATGCTAGTGTAAACCTTGGCAAGATGCAAGGCCTTCCCTCGCATGCAGATGGCGGCGCCTCTTCCACTGCTGAAGCAACCACTGTTCAACTCGAATTTAAATACCTTGCAAAGCTGACTGGCGAAACTAACTTCTGGGAAAAGGCTGAGAAGGTTATGGAAGTTGTTGACGATAACAACCCCAATGCTGGCCTGGTCCCTATCTACATCTACGCCACGACTGGAGAATTCCGAGGCTCGAATATTCGCCTGGGAAGCCGGGGTGATTCGTACTATGAGTACCTGATCAAGCAGTACCTTCAGACGAACAAGCAGGAACCTGTGTACGAACAAATGTGGGACGAAGCTCTCGAAGGTGTTCGCAAGCACCTCATCACGTACACGGAACCGACTGGCTATACCATCATTGGGGAACGACCAAGTGGATTGGACGGCTACCTGTCACCCAAGATGGACCACCTTGTATGCTTTATGCCTGGAACTATAGCCCTAGGTGCTACCGGGGGACTTACGGAAGCGGAGGCGCGCAAGCTTCCTTCCTGGAATAAGAAGAAGGAAGACGAAATGAGACTCGCTCGGGAGTTGATGCAGACCTGCTGGGGCATGTATAAGGCCATGGCCACCGGACTGGCGGCGGAGATTACATACTTCAAAATCGCGGATCCGCCCCTGCCAGAATCGGCACCACATCACCCGCCAGCCGAGTTCGACCCTGACCCTCAAGCCACCTGGCGACAAGATTTCCAAGTCCAGCCGAACGACGTACACAATTTGCAACGACCAGAGACTGTGGAGAGCTTGTTTTACATGTGGAGAATCACGGGCGATGTCAGATACCGTGAATGGGGGTGGGAGATGTTCGAGTCGTTTGTCAACTACACAGCTGTTGAGAACGAGGGCGGCTTTACAAGTTTGAGCAATGCCAATACGATTCCACCCGTGACAAAGGATAATATGGAAAGTTTCTGGCTGGTGAGTCTAAACGTACCTTGGATGTACGCGGCTGCATGTGACTTGGAACAGATTGCTGACATCTATCTGCAGGCTGAAACCTTGAAATACCTGTACCTCTTATTCTCGCCGAACGACTTGTTACCCCTGGACAAGGTCGTCATCAACACCGAGGCACATCCGTTCCCTCGATTCGACTTGGGCAGGCTCTTCTCAACTGGATGGAAGCGCAAACCTCGGGATGCCAATGGGAACATTATTGGAAAGACGGGGACTGTATCTTCATAAACCCCGGGGTAGTGGACTTGAACTGACGTATCTTTGCATCTATCGGCGGCGGTAGTGTTCAGCTTCAACTGACTAGTGAGCTGTCATCTCTGTCATATATATACATGTTTTTTCGTTGTTAAACTATAAATCTATTTTTGTAATGAAAGTAAAGAAATGTACGATGGGTTTACTAATACCACGAAGCTAAGTAGGGTGACGGGCGTGTTTGCTGCTGTAAATCAATATCTGGGCGGCAGCTGCAATGCTTATTCTTCGGCGCGTTGAAATGAGGCGGTGACACTCCCCTATTTTCCCCGGTGCCTCTAGTGTAAATGCCGACTACCTACTACTCCGTACACAATGGCTAATCATGGCGCTGGCACTTGTTCCTGTCACACGGCACGCGATTCATTCTCCCAAGGCTGTTCAGGCGTGGCGTCAGTCGCGGGGTTCATCAGCCACCAGAGGTCCTGAGAGCGGTGAATTGTATTGATATGGCTTGCAAGTCCCGATAACACTTGACCACAACAAATTTTGTTGGTACTAGTCCTATTACTAGTACTTGCTCCGTACCACTGGGAACTAGAAGGGAGCATTGATGTGATTTGGAGAACAATTTGCAGAAAGGGGGTGCCAAGATGTTTAAGTCGACGCAGATGGTTGGCGAGCGGGGGGGTTGGTAACTAACAAGTAATCGGTTGTTGCAACCAGGACTGGAGATGATGAGGCGGTGGGCGCGCAGCCCTTTCTGTCAGAGCCGTACATATATACATAAAAGGCATGTTATGTACGGAATATGTCTTAATGATGCCAGAGGCTTTGAGTTGCGTTGGACACGACAAGTTGAAGCTGGTCCAATCGAGGAAGCCATAGCTGGGGTTTACGGCAGCCCATATTCATGCGCCGCCCAGGTCCAGCCGCTGACACTCTCTCCGCGTTGCCAAGACCTCAGCGCCTAGCCAGGCCAGGGCAGGGGACAGAAGTTGTCAACTGGTCCGTGCGATTGAGTGGTTTGAGCGACTGAACGAGGGACTACGGCTGAGTGGCGTTATTGCGGACGCCATTGTAACAGATTGATGCGCTGGTCATCATGACAGACTTGACGCCAAGTCGCTTTACGATAGTGCACACTCCGTATTCCAATTCCGGTACTCCGTACTCCGTACAGACTTGGTGCAAAACACCAGAACAGGGTGCAGTAAGCCACGGGTGAAGTACATAGCTAAAGGACCTTGAATGCTCTGGTGAAACAAGAACAAGTTGAACGCAACGCCAAGTTACCTTCGGAACCAGCCTGCTCCGCACGTCGCCGTTGCATGTTGCATTCGGGACATCGAGGCTAGCACTCGTTCGGCGTCGGTCCATCATCAATCAATCACGATAATCCTTGAGGTGCACCACGATATCAGCCTGCCAAACCCTGGCAACCTGGACCCGAGCCACCAGTCAGTTACATGTGTTGGCGCCCATCCTTGGACATCCTTGGATGTCTGCATGTGGAGGAACGCCGCCCAACACAAGAATCGAAGCTGCCTGGCCAAGAAGCACACAGCAACATTGAAGCAGACGGAGGCTTGATCCACCGCACCCACACACAACCCGACCATTCTTTCAATGTTGATATCTCTGCATGTGGCAGGCAGGCATGGCTTCCTTCCGGCGCTAGAGCCTGTTTATAACGCCAGCAGATTAGTTGGGAGACGCCCGGCCATCTTACGCAGTCAAACCGCCCTGCCGCCCATCTTTCCCCAACGGCAACCCGCTCCTCTCACATACAACAGCTCTTCTGCACCCGCAGTGACGCACACATCTTGACCTCCAAGAGATTCCATTGCATTCTGGCATTGATATACCTGACATCGCGCCCGGTCCGAGGGTGGCGGCGTGTGCCATTGGCGCCAGCAGCTGTGACTTGACCGTTCGTGGACCGCACCGATATTGACCGCCGAGCATCGTCAAGCTGTCGACGTCTTGACTATGGTCAACGGGACCAGCTTCGACTCTCAACAATATAATAAGCTGCCACTCCGGCACCATGCCTGAATAGTTCCATAGCCATTGCAGTCTTCAACAGGAACATTCGACGTATTTACCAACCTTGATATCGACTCTGCCGTCGCTGGCGGGCTGGTTGGTGTCGTCATCCCGCCGCCGAGCCTGCGTCCCGCCAAACGCAGATTCCAACGCACCATTGAGGATGGCACCGCCGCGAGATATCGAGCTGAACACTGTCCATAATTTCAAAACCAAAGAAGAGTCCTTTTCGCACGGCAGTTCCCACAGCATGCGCGAGCCAGAATACTACGACGACCAACCGCCGCCCCGCTTCCAACGCTTCCTCGATGGCTTCAAGAGGGATACCAGCCTTCCGTTCTTCCCGAGCGACCACCTGAGTCAAGTCAACAGCCATTCTAACCAGCGTCGATATGGGAACCATTACTATGACTTGCGCCTGGCGGCGCTCGAGTCCGCAAATACCGGGTTGGCGAGGAAGCTCAAAGGGAGGCATTTGCAGATGATTGCCATAGGAGGTTCCATAGGTATGCCAACTTGATTCTTTTCTTTATAATTTTTTCCCAAGCTACTTGACAGCACACGGGTTGTTCTAACTTTGGTGGCGTCGTATAGGTACTGGTCTCTTTGTCGCTTCGGGCGCTGCCCTACATTCCGGGGGTCCAGCTTCATTACTTATCGCATTCAGCATCGTTGGAATTATGCTCTATTGCACTTGCCAGGCTCTTGGTGAGCTGGCCGTGTTGTTTCCGATTGCTGGGTCCTTCTCGTCGTGGGCAACACGTTTTCTGGACCCCTCATGGGGATTTGCCATGGGCTGGAAGTGAGTCTGCACCACAACCCGTCTGCTGGCCCATATGACCGATGGTGTATTGTGCTAATCGCTCCCGTTATGTAGCTATGCAGTGCAATGGCTCACCGTCTTGCCACTCGAAATCATAGCTGCGTCTCTGACAATAAATTACTGGGGCGAGACGCTACCAAAGGCCGTTTTCGTCAGCATATTTCTTTTTATAATCTTAATGATTAACCTCTTTGGTGTCAAGGGCTATGGTGAAGCCGAGTTTACCTTCTCCATTATCAAAGTTATTGCCGTCATCGGTTTCATGTACGACTCACCCTGCTTGGTTCTACTTGTCACAGCCACACACACTCTCCTCTAACTCCGGGCTTGTACAAATACGCCATTCCCTGGTCAGACGTGTCACTAACATATAAACATCTGCAGTCTTCTCGGCATTGTCCTCAACTGCGGCGGAACACCAGACAGAGGCTACATTGGCGGCGAGTTCTGGCAAAATCCAGGCGCCTTTAACAACGGCTTCAAGGGTCTCTGCAGCGTCTTCGTCACCGCGGCGTTCGCCTTTACAGGCACCGAACTCGTGGGTCTCGCAGCCGCCGAGACAGCCAACCCGCGCAAATCCCTCCCCACGGCGATCAAACAGGTCTTTTGGCGGATCACACTCTTCTACATCGTGGCCCTGACGCTCGTCGGCCTCCTGGTCCCGTACAACGACCCCCGCCTCATAGGCGGCGACAGCAAAGCCGACGCCAAGGCATCCCCCTTTGTCATCGCCATCGAAGAAGCCGGCATCGAAGTCCTCCCCTCAGTCATGAACGCCGTCATCCTCGTCGCCGTCCTGTCCGTCGGCAACTCTGCCGTCTTTGGCTCCTCGCGAACCCTCGCTGCCCTCGCCAACCTCCAACAGGCCCCCGCTATCCTCGGCTACGTCGACAGACGCGGCCGGCCCCTCGTCGCCATCCTCGTCGCCGCCCTCCTCGGCCTCCTTGCCTTCCTGGCCGACCTTAGGGAGCAGTCTAGCGTGTTCGACTGGCTGCTCGCCATCTCCGGCCTCTCCACCGTCTTCACATGGACGTCCATTTGCTTCTGCCACATCCGCTTCCGCCGCGCCTGGGCCTCCCGCGGCCGCCGCCTCAGCGAAATGGCGTACAACTCCCAAGTCGGCGTCGTCGGCTCCTACGTTGGCTTCAGCCTCAATGTCCTCGTCCTCATTGCCCAGTTCTGGGTCGGCGCCTTCCCCATCGGATGGCAGGACATGACCGCCGGCGAGGTCACTCGGAACTTCTTCCTCAAGTTCATGGGCGTGCCCATCGTCTTGTTCTTCTACATCCTCCACAAGCTGTACTTCAGAACCACCTTTGTCAGGGTTTGCGACATGGATGTTGATACCGGCAGGAGAGATTTCAATCTGCCCATTTTAATTGCGCAGGAGCAAGAGGAAAGAGCTTCGTGGCCTCAATGGAAGAAGTTTTACAAGTTCATGTGTTAGACGTCTCTGGGCATTGTGAGGCGGCCCACAGGTCCATGTAGCCGGCTTTTTTTTGTCTTCTAAGTGGGTGGGATGTAGATTTTGAATTTAGTGATCTCTTGTGCGGGCATTTGGATTCCGGCCTGGGCGGCGTTGGACATTATGATATATGGGCGGCAAGTGTTATTATTATGTTGTTATACCAGGTATGCGCATCACCGATTGTATATATGGTCAAGGATATAAACATCCCCGCTGGCAACTTAAGTCAATGGGGCTCTTTCACTTGGTCGCTGACGGGTAAATGAAGGAGCAACAGGGCAAGTGAATGGCCGAGAGACCCGAAAAACAATTGCATGTGATTTACTTGCATTGTGACTGATAAGCTTACATTTATGGCACAAGTAGCACAACATGCATGTAAGTTACATGTAAGTGGAAAAAATTGAACTGACACTGCACAGAACAAACATCAGCTGCAGCAGCATCTTGGTAGTCTTGTACAATACGGTTAAGTACATTATGTGCCCGAAACATACAAGCTTTACCCCTCGTCCTTGTCCACGGCTGTCGTGATGCCCGAGACGGTGTATGATAACAAAAGACAAAAAAAAACATGTAATAGTAGAATGTGTTTGAAAAGGGCAGATAGTGGCTCAATTTCCGTGGATTGAGTGCATGTCCAACACAACGGGGATAGATAACAAACTAAGAAACAAATTCAGCAGAGTGGTAAAGAAAAGGCTCTCATGAATCATGAGCCATTTAGGCGTATAAGTCGTCAATGCCAACACAAACTCCCCGTACAACCTTCGCGCAACAAGTACAAGACCACCTTGTTGAACAATCCTGATCCTCTGTCTGTAATCTTCTGGCGTCTTTCTCGGAAATACTTTTTTGCTTCAGCATCTCAGAAGTCCCAGAAGCTCTTTTGAGCGGCACCGGGGTTGGCCTTTCGTGAGGTAGGTTTCGGGGTGTCATCGTCACCACCACCACCATAAAGCCAGTCGCGGTTGGTACCCTTTCGGCCTCCCATACCATCACCAGCAATGTTGATCTGGTTGTCTTCCAAGAATCGGGCCTCGCCTCGTTTATTTTCCTTCTGGGCAGTCGGTGATTTATCGTAAGAAGACCAATTGGCGTCCATCATTTTAACAGCCTTCAGCCTTCCCTCTGGAATGTGGTGATTGCGCGAGGACTCAGGAGCAGGCGACTCGTCAGTCATGGCGAAGTGGGGATCAAAATCATTGCCACGGCCCTTCAAGTTGGTAATGTTACCGAGAGCACGCTTGGGCTCCGGCGTAGCACCTCCCTGATCAAACAGTTTGTTCTTGTACAAGCCGAGGCCTTCATTGTGCATTGAACCTCTAGGGCGGGTGTTTGCGCGCTCTTGATGTGGCAGCTTCTCGCCGTCATCCTGAAGCTCAAAATGGGTTTCGGCATCACGGCGAGCTTTCCCAATCTGGTGAGCTGAATCATCTTCCATATTGCTAGCCTCGGTGTCCCAGTGACGAACATCCTGTGCTCGGTACTGTTTGGTGGGCTGAGTTTTGTGGGGGGTGGTGAAGTCTTGGAAATCCCACTGGCTATCATGCTTCGATTTCGGACGATTCTCGAATGAGACACCAGGCTGAGGTCTGTCCTGGGGATCGGATCCATCGGCAAAGTCAAAGTGGCTATACCTTTGGGGATTAGGCTTGATGTATTTGTTCTTGGTGGTCTTGGGCGTGTCCTCCTCTTCCTCCTCAACATGCTCCTGGCCCTCAAAGATGCGCATAGGCTGAACATTCTTGCCCTGTCCAGCCTTGCTCGGCGAGACTGATCGATGGTGGTTTTCTCCGTAATGCTCACCAGTAGGATCGTCACCCAAGACATCGGCAAAAGACCGCTGTCCTTGACGGTGACCTGCATAAGGTGACACGACAGTCTCGGACTCTGCAGCTTCAAGCTCCTCTCGATTTCCAAACAGCTGCAGAGATGCATGGGGGTCGCGCATGGCGTTGTTGGAACTGCAGCGGGATCGGATCACAACATCATTGTGGCTTTCGGGCCGCGTTGGGGCTCCGCCAGTTGACTTGAGGCAGGACTGGATCAAAGTGAGTTGCTCTCTGCTATCCCGAATAGGCCAATTGCGGCCAGTCTTGCCGATGATTTCCATCTGCTTGAGTAGGGAACCCTGGTCCCATTGTTGACGGATTTGAAGAATCTTGCCCTCATCGTCGAGTGTTACAATGTGAATCTAGACATGGCAAGTGTTAATTGGAAGTCAATTCCCCCATGGTGCTAAGCAAGCCAGGCCGGCGCCGGCTAACTGTTAAGCGTGCAACCAAAGCTGTGAACTCACAATGGACAAATAGGCAACACGATCAGATAAGAAGTTGTCGTCCAGGCCGGGCAGGTAAGCGCCACCACTAGTTTGGAACTCCAGAGCCGTATCGACTTCGGCGACAATGACGGTTTGTCCGTCGACAAGGTTCAGGAACTCCTGCTTCTTGACCTTGACCTGCTTCTGGAGCGTGCCGAGGTGCTTAATGATCTCGGTAGCACCAAAGACGGACGTCGTAGTGGTGACATAGTGCAGCGAGGCCTTGTCAGCCAGGAGAGAGGAGCTGGGAGAAGCCAAAAACTGCTTGTACACAGAAGCCATGGTGTGTCTGGCTCGATGGACGCGTGAGATCAAGGCGTGTTTGAGGTTGAAGATGAGGTGAGGCGGATGAAGCGCCGGCGTTTTGTTTGTTTTTGTCGATTGCGAGGGGCAGGAACGTCGAACAGCGGGGCAGAAAGGCAAGGTGTCTATTAGTATCCTGAGTAGGTATCCGTGGCTGTTGTTTCGGCTCCGGCTGGCGGTTGGCGGTTGACGGTTTCACAAAAAGGAGGGACGGCGAAGATGTAGAAGGAGGAGGAAGAGCCGGCCACAAGAGAGCGCAAATTGATAAGAGAGAGCGGGATGGGCGAAGCAAATTCAGAATACTAATATGGCCAGGCCTGGCTTTTGCGTCGGCGAGGAGCCACAACTTTTCGAAGCAGGGGACCGTGACACGGCGACGACTGGGGCGTCGAGGCGTCAAGTCGTGACCTGGGCGAGGGGCCGGATGTACATGCAACAGTGGTAGCTGCTCTCACGCTGCTCACTTTTGCTGCACCGGGTTGGATGGGCAAATACTCGTTATTGCGTACTCCGTAGTCAGTCCTGGAGTCTTTGTGGCCGACGGCGCGTCTGCGTCACATTCGTCTGTCCGGGGAAGAAGCAAGTGACGGCGCTGGAAAATTGGAGGACGGGTCTGGTTGAGGCGGCAAGGGGACAGACAGGGGCGTGAGGCGACAACAGGGACCGGCAGGGACCAGCAGGGCAGTGCAGGGAGGTGCCACGAGCCAAGGAGCAATGCAATGCTGGGGTTAGAACAGAAGCTTCCGCTAGTACAACTTCAAGAGGGATGATCAATTGATGGCATTTGGAAAAAGGGGGATTTGACTGATTTGACCTGGTCAACAAACACAGTGGGCGTTGCCACGGCGCCGACCGCGCTGAGACGCGTTTATTACTTACCTTTTGAGGTCTTGTACGTCAAGTGCTGCATGTGCTAAGTACCTCCTAAAGTACCTAGGTACTTATTAGTAGCAATAATCCGCCAGAAGCCAAACAGTCCACCGACACAGCGTTGTATGTACATTGCCCAAGCGGACTTCGCAATAGACGCGCAGTGTCAATTGATATTCCAGTACAGCGCTAGACAGTCAGGAACGGTCACATCTGCGCTCATTAGCTTCAATGTCGACAGGACCGGGCACGTGGATCGCGAACAGATATTACATGCATATGCACGGAGTACTTATGTATTAGTAGGATCTACTCCGTACGATGAGTACCTGGTATGAAGGCTCTTTGGTACCCACCGTCCCCCATGTGTTTCATGCAGGTACATACTCCGTACTCCGTACTCATTCTGAGTCGCAGGCAAACGAGTCTTTCATCTCGCGACGCATGAGCATGAATGATGCTAACGGACAGGTGGATGCAATGCCAGCTTACAGCATGACTTTGTATACTACTATCCCCTGCCTGGATGATAATTCTAGTAGATTATTACCATCCCATCTACTGGGCATGGAGTGCGGAACGTGTATTGTACATGCAGAGAGTACTACTGCGTTTGACTTGACGCTTGCATGACGATTCGACAAACGCAGCCAGACGCCCTGACTCTGTTGAATGCCACCATTCCATGACCAGGCTATCCCAGCATGCCCTTGAGCCAAGGGACGAGGAAGGGTAACTGCCTCCCAATAGGTAATTAAATGGTTCGCCCCGGTTGAGCCGGCATCCTGTTCCGGCTAGCCTTGTGATTCTGCTTTCCGGGGATCGGTACAGTACTAGTTGTTTTTGTCACCTCCAAAGGTTGATCAGCGTCGTAGAGATGCATGCGGAAACTTTGTCGGACATTTCTGGCAAGTCAGAACAACAACGGCTCGCTGGCCTGGTGGTGCCCGTCGCGTTTCACGTGGTAACATGCATGTACTACGTACTAGTACATGCACACATGCGGCACACTAAAGCCCCGAGTTTTGCATGCTTCCCAATGCGCCTCAGCTTCGCTATGTTGAGCCAAAAGTCAGCACAAACGACATGTCGGTGAGAACTTGAAATATGCGCGGCGTTGAGGAGCCCTTGCGTGCTGACCCCAGCCGGAATGGTGTACTACTAGTACTAAGTACCACAATCGTGCTTGATGCAAGCGGAAACGAGTGCTCTCAAAAGCAGCATTTCCTCAAGCTTCGAGCAGCTTCCCATCCGGCTTCAACTGTGGCTTGAATTTTAAGCCAGGTCAGCCAGTCGACCAGTCACAAGCCACGGCTGGTGGTTCCAAGTGGCCCCTCACCCGCACCGCCCGTCAGCCCGTCAGCCCGCGCCACACTTGCCTTCACCGTTAAACACGGTGAAACGCCTCGCTTGCTGACGTCTGGTTCCAGCTCTAGCTGCTCGTGAGACAAGCACATGTGTCCACGACACACCTCCTCACCAT